AATTTTATAGACTTTCCCATGCTCCTCATGAGCAACAAACACGGATGGTTGCTCCATATAGACTTTCTCCTGTAAATCATCATGAAGAAAAACATTATTGACATCTAACCGATGTAAGAGTTAACCATTAGTAGCGAGTAAGAGAGATAAACAAACGGACGAGATGAAAGTTTAACAATCGAGAAAACGTATCGGAATAATCTACACCATATGTATGAGCATATCCTTTTGCAACTAATCAAGCTTTGAGATGGGCCACCGAATCATCGGGATTAACCTTGACATCATACACCCATTTGCATCCAATAGCTTCGTTTACCTTTTGGGAGATGCACCAATTCCTAAGTACTTATTACCATCTAAAGCTATCATTTTCTTCTCCATAGCAGTCCACCAATCGGGATAGGACAAGGCCTCATGTAATGTTTTAGGTATAGACATTGAATCTAATGAAGCAATAAAGTAATGCAAAGAAAGAGACAAGTGATCATAAAAAGCAAATGAAGAGATAGGATGAGAACATTGCCGTTTACCTTTACGAAGAACGATGAGAAGATCAAGATTAGGATCTATAGAGGGAAGAGGCTGCAGAGGATATGAGTCATGATTTGGTTGTAGATCTCGTGGATGAGTACGACGAGAGTAAGCTTGAGTGATGGGTGGTTTAATGGGTATATGAGATTCAATAGTTGTAGTCACGAGTACACATGAGAATATCACCTTCCTCCCCCTCACAATTATATGTTGTAGGTTCATAAAAAAATAATGTAGTCTCAAAAAATGTTACATCAATCGAAATCAAATAATGACCCAAAATAGGAGAATAACACCTATAACCTTTCGACGATGAGAATACCCCAAAATGACACACTTAAGAGATTTTAGATCTAACTTAGACACTTTGGGATTAACATCACGAATAAAACACGTATAACCAAAGACACATGGTTTTATTGGAAATAAAGACCGAGAATGAAATAAAACATAATGAGAAGTATCACCGGAAAGAATAGAGGAAGGTAACCGAATGATTAAGAAACATGCTTGTAGACACGGCATCAACCCAAAATTGTTTAGGAACTTTCATCCGGAAAAGAAGGGTTCTAGCAACCTCTAGTAAATGTCTATTTTTTCATTTAGCAACACCATTTTGAGGTTGTGTGTCCACACATGATGATTGATGAAGAATTCCATTTTGTGTCATATAGATATTTAATAGCTCGGAGAAATACTCTTTCGCATTATCACTCCTCAAAACACGTATCGAAACATTAAATTGAGTTCGAATTTCAACATAAAAAGCATAAAATATAGAGAATAATTCAGATTAACTTTTCATTAAATATAACCAAGTAACACGATAATAGTCATTAACAAATGTGATAGAGTATTGAAAACCGGTTGTAGAAGTCATTGGATAAAAACCCCAAACATTGGAATGAACTAACTCAAAAGTTCGGCATAACCCATTTATTGACCCTTGAAAAATACGACACACGATGGTGTTTAGCAAACTAACATGACTCATATTATAAAGGAGATACATTCTGAAGCCGAGGAAACAATTTATTTAAAAAAACAAAGAAGGATGCTTTAATCGATAATGCAACTCTAGAGGTGTTATAATATTAGAACAAGTGATAGGTTGTAGTATAGGTTGTGATATAGGTTGAAGATGATACAACCCTCCGGACTCGTATCCTCTACCAATAATCTTTCCCTTCGTGAGATCCTAAAATAGATAATAGTCGAAAAAATAAGACACAACAATTGAGAGCTCGAGTGATTTTATTGATTGACAATAGATTAAATGAAAAATTGGGTAAACATAACACGGATGACAAAAAGAGAGATGATGTAGCAAGAGCTATTCCAATTCCTATAATAGATATGGTTGATCGATCAACCAGAGTGACACTAGAAAGATTTTTATGTGAAACAAAGGAGGAGAGAATATCTTTATTACTTGTCATGTGATCCGTAACACTCGAATCAATGATCCATTTGAAAAAAGATGACACTAAGACATGTAGTAGGTTTACTTGTCTCACCACCGATAGTTAGAGGCAACTGGGAAGACTTTAGCGAGGATTGATACCAAGTAAGCCGAGCAAAGTCATTAGCAAACACCATTATAAACTTCTCGGATGAAGAAGAGGCGGGATTAGCCTATTAGGCTATAAAGTTTGCAATATGAACTATAATAACATCGGAGATCATAGTTTTCTTCTTTGTTTCATCCGCCATTAAACAAAAACAAAGAAAGAAAATAAGCCAACAAGGTCGTGGTGGCTCACTAAGGCGATAACGAAAAGAGAAAAAAAATGATAGCACGGCTAGGGCAACGATAACGACTTACTCAATTAGAGCGTGAAAGCTCTAATACCATGTAGAAATATGAGAATATAATAATATATTTCACATATTGAGCTGCATGAGTGTATATATATGTGTATATATATATAGGTTTAGGATCAATCTAAATCCCTAGAATCAAAATATTATTAACTTTCTAGAAATTAACTCCTCAATCAGCCTTATAATTGACAATCCTATAATTGACTTACTATATTTATATGAGAATCAATCCTATAATGGACTTACTATATTTATAACGGTATTGAAAACTTAAGTTTAAATTCATTCAAATCTTATTACTTGTATTTTTTTCCCATTCTCTATGAACAAAACCTCATTTGAATACAAATTATAGATATACACAAGTAATGTGTGACAAGTAGTTAAAAAATAAGAAAGAATTACATTAAAGTATTTGAATGTTTTGTCATTATAAGGACACAAAAGATAGTTTTACCAACACTATTATAACAAACTCATATATCATCGACATATTATGTTACACCAAATGAATTTTAGTAAGATATATTATACTTTATATTTACAACAAATGTTTCATCTTAATTAATTAAAAATAAATTTCACATATATGTTACTTTATACATAACATTTTATATATAAAGACTTTTTGACATGAATTTCATATACAAAGTTTTGTCATACTAACTCATACAAAGTACAAAAACTATTAAAAACCTTGGTTTAAATTCTCTCAAATCTCATTATTTGCTCATTCTTCTTATTTGAAAAAAAAATCATGAGCAAAAGTCTTATGCAAATAAAAGAAAAGATATACATAGTTAATTAACGTTTGCCACGTAGCTCAAAAAATAAGAAGGAACCACATTAAAGTATTCAAATATTTTTTCGTTATAGGTGCATGAAAGGTAGTTTTATCAACATCATTATACCAAATTTATATATAATTGACAAATTCTTTTACATCAAACAAATCTCAATAAAATATATTTTACTTTACATTCATGCCAAATGTCTCATTCTAATAATAAAAAATATTTTTTATATAATAAAGTTCACATATAGTTTGCTTTATACGTATTAATAAACATTGAAATTCAAGTTTAAATTCATCAAAATGTCATTAATTTCCTCTTTATATATATATATATATATAAGAATAAAATCTTATGTGAATACAAAGAATTGATATACACAAATAACGTGTATCACATAGTTAAAAAAAGAAGAAGAATTTAATTAAAAAATCAACATATTTTGTCATTATAAATACATGAAAAGCAATTTTACCAATACATGTATACCATATTTATATATAAACAACAAATTCTATTGCGAGTAGACAAATCTCAATAAGATGCATTTTACTTTGTACTTGTACCAAATGTCTCATCCTAGTTAATAAAAAATAAATTTCACATACATATTACTTCGTATATAAAGAATTTTTTACATGAATTTTAGATACAAAACTATTATCATATTAGCTTATACAAAGTGTGAGAACTATTGAAAACTTAAGTTTAAATTAATTTAAATCTCGTTATTTGTTTATTTTTTCTATGGACAAAATCTTATGTGAATACAAAGTATAGATATATACAAGTAGTACTGTGATGGATAGTTAAGATATAAGAAGGATTCACATCTAAGTATTTAAATATTTTGTCTTAGTAAGTGCATGATAGACAATTTTAACAATACTATTGTACTAAATTTATATATAAAAGACAGATTATAATATACTAAACAAATATCAATAAGATACATCGTATTTTATACCCATAACAAATATCTCGTTCTAATTAATAAAAAATAAATTTCACATACATTTCACTTTATAAACATCACTTTATATGTAAAGACTTTCCGACATGAATTTCGGATAAGAAATCGTTATCGCATTAACTCAAAAAAGGTATAAAAACTATCAAAAAATCAAGTTTAAATTCACCCAATTCTCATTATTTGCTTATTTTCTTTTTATTTTTTTAAAATATTTTTCATGAAAAATCTTATGTGAATACGAAAAAAAAGATATACACATGTAATGTTTGCCACGTAAGTTCGTAAAAAAAGAAGAAGAAATTACATTAAAGTATTTAAATATTTTGTCATTATAGATGCATGAAAGACAGTTTTACCAACATCATTATACTAGATTTATAAATAATCGATAGATTTTATTGCACTAGAAAAATCTCAATAAAATACATTTTTACTATGCATTCATGCCAAATTTCTCCTCTTAATTAATAAAATTTTATATAATAAATTATACATGTATTTTACTTTATACATGTTACTTCATATGAAAAGGCTTTTTAACATGACATTTATATATAGAACTATTAACATATTAACTTATACAAAAGTAATAACCATTGAAACTTAAGTTTAAATTCACCCAAATCTCCTTATTTGCTTCTTGTTATTCTTGATAACAAGAAATATATATATATATATATTCTATGAACAAAATCTTACGTGGATACAAATATATATCAAGCAATGGGTGCCACGCAATTAAAAAATAAGAATATATAAATATTTTGTCATTATAAATGCATGAAATACCATTTTCCTAATACCATTTATACTATATGTATATATAAATGACAGTTTCTATATCAAGAGACGAATCTAAATACCATATATCTTACTTTGTATTCGCACCAAATGTCTCTTCTTGACTAATAAAAAATAAATTTCACATATATTTTACTCTATCCATATTACTTTACATGTAAAGACTTTTTGGCATGAATTCTAGATACAAAAAAATCATCATATATTAATTTATATAAAGTTTAAATAAATTTTAAAAACTTAAGTTTAAATTCATCCAAATCTTATTATTTGTTTCTTTCTTTCTTTTTTTATGAACAAGCTATTATGCGAGTACAAATAAGAGATACACACAAGTAATGTGTGTCGTGCGAGTTGAAAAAGAAAGAAAGAATCACATAAAAGTATTTAAATATTTTTGTCATTATAAGTGCATAAAAGACAGTTTTATCAATATCATTGTACCAAATTTTTATACATCGACATATTTTGTTTTATTAGACAAATCTCAATAAAATACATTTTACTTCATATTCACGCTAAATATCTCATCCAAAATAATAAAAAACATAATTTTACTTCATACACGCTACTTTACATGTGAAGTGTTTTTTGAAATGAATTTTAGATTCAAAATTATTATCATATTAACTCTTACAAAATGTAATAACTATCGAAAACTTAAGTTTAAATCCATTCAAATCTCATAATTTGCTCCTCCTCTTTTTTTTTTTTTAATCTTCTATTTGAATAAAATCTACAGTGAATATAAAAAATAAATATAAACAAGCAATGTGTGACACGTTGTTGAAAAATAAGAAGGAATCATATTGAAGTACTTGAGTATTTTGTCATTATAGATGCATGAGCCGGTAGTTTTCCTAATACCATTGTACCAAATTTATATATACATGACAAATTCTGTTACACCAAACGAATCTCAATCAGATACATTGTACTTTTTTATCTACACAAAATGTTTCATCTTAATGAATAAAAAATAAAATTCACAAAATAAACGACAAATTTAGTTACATTAAACAAATGTTTATCAAAATAATTCAAAAGAATGTACTTTAAGTCACAAAATTTGATTTTTTTTAGATTATCATAATATTCTTTAAGATATTAGCATATGTTTCTCTTAAAATAGAAAAAAATAGTAATTTAAAAATACTTAATTTGTTTTAAATGCAAAGCTATTATCAAATTAACTTATGCCTAGTGCAACAACTATTAAAGAGTTGAATAAAACATCACTCAAATCACACTATCTGTTTATATGTTATCTTTGACTTATGAACAAAGCATCGAGTGAATATAAAGAACTGATTTATAGAACCACGCATAAAAAGAAGAAAGAATCACGTCGAGCATTCAAATATCTTGTAACTCATTAGTGTCATTACATGGCGTTTATATAATAAAAGACAAATTCGTTGTATCGGACGAATCTTAATTAAATATATGTTAATTTAAATCAAAGTCAAATATCTCATTAATGTTAGAGTTAGTTCAACTCCCGTAATCAATAAGTAATAAAGGTATATAACAAACGACAAATTTTGTTACACCAAGCGAATCTCTAATAAAAAGCTTCTTTAAAATTTCTCGAACAACAATACACTCAAGTTTGAATAAAAAGTAAAGTATATCTAATAAACGACAATTTTTGTTACAAAAATCAATTCTAATTAATTCTATTATACTGAAAGAATATTAAGAAAACTACAAAAAGACCTTCGACTAATAAATGATAAAGTTTATTATAGCAAGATGAATCATGAGAAAATTGCTTTAATTAAAATAAATCGAAAATAATGCTTCACTTTGGTGTAAATGAAAACTAAAATTTACATAACAAATGATGCTATACCAAACAAATCTCCAATGAAATACTTTAAATGAAATTGATACACAATATCATAATAGTTTGATTGGAGAAATGTTAAAATACTTGAATGATTAATTAAAAATGCTTACTTTATGGATCTACTTTGAGGAGAGATTGAAAAAAAAATCATATTCAAATACACAAAAAAAAAAAATGATAAGAATATTTTTAGCTTGACTCAAATTTTTTTTTAATTCTCACCGATATATGTATTTTTTTTTTTACCTATTTTTCTCTCTTATGGAGTAAGTATTATTAATTACTTCTACAGTAAAATATATTTTTCTAAAAATAAATATATTTAATAAAATACAAAACTACATAAATTAATACCAATCAAATTAATTCTAGATGTCAAGTTGATAAGAATAAAAATACCAAAGAAAAAAAAACATTGAAAAGAAGAAGATTGACAGCTGAAAGCTTAAAAGTTTTTCAAGTTCATTTAATTATTTTGGAAAGTAAAAGAACATTTTAATCATTGAAATTTATTTTTCTTATTTTTTGATTTTTTTCTTTCGAGATTATCAATGCATTTCTTAAAACAATAACATATTTTCTTAAAATAAAAAGTGGAAGAAAGATCATGCCACTAACCATGTACAGACAATTAGGTTCAAAATATGCATTGAACTTGGTTGGAAGTCCGTTTTAAAATATCGTTGAATAGAAAACGAGAAAAACGAAAATGGGTTGCGAGAAAATGAAGGGCAAGTTCACGTGCTGGCCCAAATAGGCAACACGGAAGAGCAGCAGAGGATGTAAACCGGTGGGACCCACATGTGTTGTCTATTAGCAGTTGTGTATGGTCCAAAGCAACAAATGGTGGAATCTATGTCCTGAAAAGTTTGCATATCTGGAAAAAGAAAAATTAAAAGAAAATCTTTTTAACATTCTTTTCCTTCGTTTTATTTTATTTTTACCCTATCTTCTGGCTCTGCCACCACTGTTAGTTTCGGACTTTCAGCCCCATAAATACACCCTGTAAGGTCATGGTGGTTTCATCATGGCCTTTTGTCCCAACCAAGGAGAAACTTTGTTGGGTCATTGTTAGAATTATTTAGGTATGGGATTCATTGCGGGTAAAGGTCATACATGACCACCCATGTCATTTTTGGGCAGCATTGGGGAAAAAAAAAAAAAGAAAGAAAGAAAGAATCAATTCATTTTTTTTTTTTTTTGCTACTATTTTGGGAACTTTACACGGCAAACCTATGGGTTGGTGTCGTTATATGATACGCGAATCATTTCTATTTGTGGGAGATGAAACTAGGTGCATGAACTTGCTTGGTATGAATAATTCATAATTGAAGTTTTCTTTTATTGTGGAATGTGGTTGAAGTGTTGAATTTGCTTGATATGGGTAATTTTACCAGGGGAATTGAATAAATAGGGTAGATTTTCGGTGTTGTTGCTATGATAAATTTTATAATACTCAAGAAATAATTAATATAAATTATTTTATAAAAAAATAGATAAAAAAATTAAGTCAACATGTAATTTTTTTTATTATTTTTAATAGATTCAGATATAATTCTTTTTTTATGTGTCTATCTTTTTTTAAAAAAATAAATTTAAAAAATAATTATTATATATGTACATTGATTATTTTTTTTAATATTATAAAATTTCTGATATTGTTATGATATAATCATAAAATATGTCAACAAATCGACATATAAATTGATTATTGTCAAATAAATATACCGAAATGATAGTTTATTAGTTTACTTTATAATTATTATTCAAGCTATCAACATGTCGAAAATCCTATACTAACAACTTCACCGAAATACACAAATGCTAAGAGAGAAAACCCTGAAATCGTTGAAATGGTAAAGTTTAAAACACGGTTATGAAGTGCAATTAATGGGTCAAATCATTCTTCAAGTGAAATGATTTTTACCCATTGTTTTATGGGAATTTTCAAAGATTTTATTCCTTAAAAAAAAAAAAAAAAGAGAGAGAGAGAGAATCTTTTCTCTCTATCTCTCATGAAAAACAAGCACACCCTTGTAATACGATTCGTGCTTATGTCGAACTTGCTGCAACAATGGTTGTTAGAGAATATGTCGTATCTTTTAACAGCAAGAATGCTTGTTAGAGAAAATGTCGTATCTTTCGACAAATCTAATACGGAAAGATATGATTGATCATTTCATTATAAAATGCGGTCATTTCAAACTTGAGATATGGTTTATTATTATTTTTCAGAACACAGAACCTAGAACCCACTCCCCTTCTCATGCTTTAGGATCTGTTTTTTGGAACACCCTTTGCTCATTCCTCCCATATCCTCTGCCCTACACACATATATATAAATATTCAATTCAAGTCAAATCCATAATTTCTATTTTCACACTCAACCGAACGTGTATATCTCTATGCGTACATTGATTTTGATTTCTTAAATCAATCATCAATCTAGCTTAATTACCACTTGCACATCCCTTGATCTCACATAATTAAAATAAAAAACAGCAATGGACTTTTGCACTTGTTTTTTAAAAATTAATAAAAAAATATATAAAACCCTAAAACGTATATTAGCATGGGCTGAAAATTAAACATATTTTAATGCTAATTTAATTTTAAAAATATTTAAATTAATCTAAATTGATCTAAAAATTATCATAAAACTATTTCACAGTTTGTAAATATTAAAAAAAAGGAAAGAAAAGAAAAGAAAAAGGCCGTAGATATTTTGCGTAGGAAGGATGATTGGAGAATACATTTTATAGGTGGCAGGTGGGATTGAGACGCGAGTAGAAGACGATAGACATTACAGCATGCTTATTCAGTCAAGCTCAAGCGGCCAGCCAGCCATCTTTGATGGGCAATAGATGCTCTCGACAACTCGAAAATACAAGACAGAAGAATGAAAAGAGAACAAAAATGGGTGTTAAATATATCTCACTCACAAGATCACATCCAATCCAGTTAAGCCAAACGTCCTTCGAGATAATTTGGTTTCTATTTCGGAGCAAACATTTTGAAAGCGAACCTGCATCAAATTCGGTAATCAAAGCACTTATACTTGCGTTTTTCCATAACTTCCAAACCGATGTGCTGGCAATACTTGGGTCAATATATATTTCTCACCCCTTTGACGTACATCTCAAGAAAATGCATGGTCTAGCTAGGCCTATACAATTCTTCTTTTGATTAATCAAATTGACTTCTAGACCTTTTTTAAAAGGGTGTTATTTATATATGATTGAGTTAATTATCTTCTTCTAATTCCAAATTATAAAACAAATCCAACTCACCAAGAATTGTTTTTGCCTATTTATTATTATTATTATTATTATTATTTTGGTGAAGTCAGGGTTTGCGGTTCAAATGTTCGTGAAACTAGGTATCGTAATTCATATGTATAATATATTTTTTGAAGGTGTTTTAATGATTTTGATTCTATGTAGATTCAACTTTATGAACAAAGGATGAATCGTAGACTTAAAATATTATCAAGATAATTTATGCTATTAATGATTTACAAGTTCAAATTTCCTTAACATTCGAAAATATTTTTCATTGGTTTTTAAAGATGGACTCTTTGTCACTCTTAAGCCAAACTTCTGCCATAGCTAAACAAAGTTCAGTTACAAATAATATTAGTTAATATTGTCTGCTAGATAATATTTCTTTGCTTCTATCATTATCATTATGTTGTATTTTACCTTAATATAGAGTAATATAATATTTATAATTATATAAATCTTTTTATCGTTTTTTATAGGTATGGACGTAATTTTTTTTTTAATATTTCTTACTCAAAATGAAGCTTATGAAGTAAGCTATCATACATGTCATCTAGTTATTTTTAATGTATTATAAAATTTCTCGGATCTGTGACACTATCAATATAAAACTTTGTCCAAATACGAAGATTGATATGATGATCTACAACGATCGTGGATGTCCAAAACATTGACAGTGGACCGATCGACTTCCTGAAAGAGAGAAACAAAGATACAGAATCGCTATTTCTTTTAAGTTCTTTTTTTGGACCAAAACAGGGAAAGTAACTAATTAAACAACATTGGCCCCGTGACAACCATCTCCCAGAAGCTTCAAAGCTTTTTTCCTTTCCTTTTATATATATATATATATATATATATTCTTTAGAATTTACTATTTTTTCAAAAAAAAAAAAAAAAAAATCGCTTGGGGACATTGTGGTTGTGATTGACTCACGTGTATTTTTTATCGATAAATGTATATATTCTTTTATTTTACGATAAAAAATATCAAGTTAGTTTTTACATACTGAATCTATCTGTTTTTTTTTTCTTTTATAAGAGAAAAATGTGTGCTGGCTGGCTGGACCATCATCATGACACCATAGTGAAATTAATGCTTCAAGAAATTCCTGAAATGTATATAATGAGGTGACAAATAATCCAATATCTGCAGATTAAACCAATAATGGCATCATATGGAATTAGAGAGACTGATTAAGACCTGGGGCTTGCATGAAGCTTGAGCCATCAAATCTGATATGTGCTGTCCTTCATTCTTTTGTTGCTGTTTCTTATATAAATATTATCATGTTTATTTCTTGTATAATGCTTCATACTATTTTAGAACAAAGCTCTGCCGTCTTGTTTTTATTATATAATGCTTCATACTCATTTAATCTGGATGATTTATGCCCCATCGTTAGAGAGGGACGGTGCTGATTAATTCGACGATTAAAAAAAATATATTTTACATCCACTTATCTGAAATGTGTTAGTTTAAAACCCATAAATTCTATCCAAAAAGATTAGTTTTGACGGTAAATTCCATCCAAAATGGTTAATTTGAAGGGAAAAAAAAAACTTTAGCTGTTTAAATAAATAATCTCATATTCGAGTATGTGTATATATAAAAAATTTTAGATAGTTGTATCAATTTTATGGGTCCGATAAAATATTAATAGATTATTTAAAATTTTTAAACTTAGGATAGCTTGGAATCCAACAAAAAAAAAATGATATGGAGAAAGAATATCAACCCAACAAATATTTAATTTAATTAAATTTAATACCACTAATTAATCATATCTTTTTGGCCCCCATTTAGGCTTTGAATTACAGAATGGGAATACTCCCCCACCATTCATAATCTCTTTCTATCCTTACCGCGAACAATATTCGATTCCATATCAGTAGATGTTTATTCAATTACTAATTGAAATTTCATGTTTTTAGAAAATGTTCATAAATAATACTTGAACTTTTTTCTAGTATCAAACGGAAAATTTTCATGTTGACCTAAATTTCTAGTGCAAAGAGCGGTACTTATTCTTTTTTTTTTTTTTTAAAAAAAGGATTTGTTAGAATTTAATTATTGGAGTATGACTAAAAAACACGTAAAAAGAGTTTGAACTCATGTTATTTATGTGCATGCCTGCTTATACTCCACGAATTCTATTCAATAAATAAAACGCGTTGGTTTGGAAAAAAAAAATTATTATGTACCTTGCTTTTCAATACATCATATCTGTACCAAGACACATAAATAATTAAAATAATATGAAAAAACAATTTAGTTTCTGTTAATATGTAAATTGATACGGAAATATTTTTTATTATTAAATTAATAAAAATCACAAACCCATGACCATTAGGATTTCATTTTTTTTTTTTTTTTACACCCAATCAAATTTCATTTACAACTTACTGACTCTTGATTTTAATAATTGCCAAGTTGAGGTTGGTAAGGCAAGTTATGGTGGCAATAACACAAAGGGTAAAAGAAAGATAAAACATCAGCGTCGGTGGTGGGAAGAGAATGAAAGAAAGTCTGCTTGACTGACTGACAGGGGAGACTTGAATTTGAGAGAGAATCCAAAAAAAAAAAAATCAGCCACCCCATAAAAAATAAAAAGAGATTTAAGAACCAACCCATAAATAAGGGACCCACAAAATGTCCCCTACTTAGTTTGCACTAATCTAATTTGTGGGCCCACTTTAACTCTGCTTCCTCTCATCTAACAACTTGGGCAACCCCTTAATCCCTCTTTTCTTGACCCCTAACCCACAGACCAAAACCCATGTCTCCCTCTCCTTAATAATCTCTTCAAAATCCAAACCTGCCCTTGATTTTTTTCCCCTTGTTTTCTTAGTCGCCATCCAATGTTAGCGTCACCCATGGTAGTAGTTCTACCTCTCGCCACGTCACCAATTCTTGCAGGAATGGTATTTTAACCCGACCCAAAGAATATCTATATCTATATATTTTTATCGTTTAAGTATACAAATATAATTTTCATTTAATCCTTTCTGTTTAAAAAAAATCGGACATAATTTTAAAAAATTATTAATTATATGACATATCATTATTTTTTTATTTATATTTTTTAAAAAATTATCATTTATTAAATTACATTATGAAAAAAATCTATATAAAATTAAGATGATAAATTCAAAGGATAATTATTAAGTTAATTAAGGATTAAATTTAAAATCATTATTGAAAAATATTATATTTTTCCAATTTCAATCTATAATAAATTTCTTAATATTTTTTTTATGTAAGAAAATCTTTTCGTTCTGAAATTTTTAATGTGCATATGTGCGATCCATTGGTAGAATTTACTTTGTATAAAGGCTAAGTTCTGCAAAACTTTATGTTGGACTTACAACGGGATATCATTTTATATAGTTAATGGCTTTTGCTTTTTCAGCTCGCTATTATTTTTTAATTGTGGTCAATTCAAACTCTTACAAGGAAACTAAGAGGGCAATAGTTTATCGCCACGTTTCCATATAGTCCAAAAAGAGGCCACGTGGGTATGTTTGGACGGTTTTGGAATTTTGTTACGTCTTGTCACGCAGGTTTCGTGACCGTGGTTAGGTGAAGATAAGAACGTTACGGGATGACATCATAAACGATGTGGATGGCGTCATTTACAAGTTTTTTGGATAAATTATCTTTAATGAGTTATTATTTATGATTATCAAGAAGTTGCAATTAGTGAGCTTCTTCTAAAACATCATTATTCACTAACGGAGACATCTTTGTGGATATGATTAATGTTTAGGAATCAAATGCACTTGATGATGCCATCAATAGTTAATAATTTCAGGCAATTCAATTACCAAAAATTTAATCAATTCTATGTTCTTGTTTTTTTCCTTTTAAATATATATAATGGAAGAATAGATCAATTTAGATCTCGATCATAAACACGCTTTGAACTTTGAAACTCAGCGTTTATGACTTTTTTATATTTCATCCAACAATAAAATAAAATTAAAATTTTAAGTTTTTACTATTAATCTATCTCTTGTAATTAATAATTTTTATTGATATTTATAGATAGTAAGATATTTTCATATTAAATTTTATATTAATCGAGATTAAATTTATTGTTTTTCAGACTAAATTAGTATTAGAATATGTTTATATTTTTTATTAACTACTAGATTGTCTTTTAAATAAAATCAATAAAAACCCGATACTATTAATAAATAATTATGATTAATTATTCATAAATGATATAAATAAAATCTTTATGTTGATGGAAACAAAACAATTCTCTTTCTACTATACTACATCTTAATAAGTTGTAATTAACAATTTTATATAAGCTCAAAATAAAACCAATTTATTATTAATATTCTTAAGTCCTAGTGATAGAAATAATTAGATGTAATTTATCTGATTGTGATAACTCTCGAGTTTATCATAATCTTAATTACGTGACACCAATCTAATCCATACACGCTTGGAAATCAAACAAATTTGGATTAACGTTTAACCCATCAGTCCTACATCAGCTGCACAACGGCACAATTCCTGTCGTAACATTTTAATCCAAATGTTAAACCAACGTAATTTTTTGCAACCTTATCTTCAATCATCTTCGTGTTTACGCTAGAAACTGTAGAAAATATATATATAATGCGATGTTAAAATGAATATACAATGCTCTCAGATGACATAATGTTGGCCTTTAAACTTAATTTTAGGAAAGAATTCATAACAAAATTGCACAAAAATAATAAATAATTAAGGAGGGTGTTTTCAGGTACGCTTCCTCTTGGAAAATAATAATTTTTCGGAATTAATCATCCGAAAACCGTTTTTGGTGGATATGGAGAGATAAATCAGAAGATCGAACGTATTTAAATTTTGTAATACTTGCAAAGAGGTGTAAAAAGTGGAATTTCAACCCTAAATTTCTTTATTTTTCCTTGAAAGTTCAAAATTTCTGTTTGTGGTTGAAAATAATAAGTTTCGATTAAGGAAGTAAAGAATAATGACAATAATGGCGGCAATCCTCATTGGCGTGAGTAAAAGTAAACCCCAAAAAAGAAGACAGGTGGGGCGTTAGGCGTGAGGGTGACGGGGTTGCACAAGAAATGATGTAGAGAGACTAGAGGACAGGAACAATAACTATTAATTCTTTATTTAATTAGTTTAACGAGTAAATAGTTTTGAAAGTAATTAATTTTAGTGATTAGGAGATAAGTAAAGGAGGCTGGCACGTCTGCTTTACGTTTTGGGACAATAGAATGAGACCTTTATATGCATAAATACTTTGTTTTCTAGGTGGGTGGATTGGCGGGGGAAAGAGTGAGACCAGGTCGTAAAGATGAAGAAAATTCCACAGAAATATGGACCCCCATGTATGTTTTGGCCCCTCCATGTGTAATATTTCTTGCCCATGTACCACCTTTCTTTATTTTTATTGGGACACAAGAAAAGCTGGCTGCGTACCTGTATGAACTAGGAAACTCATAGTAAGTTCACCTGCTAAGACACTTCCATTGATTTTTTGGTTACTTTTTCCGGTTTTTGTTTTTATCCAATCACTGTTTATCGCTTAACCAGTACGTAGATCTCCCATTCTTGCTAACATCCAAAATTAGCATGAAATTAATATATATATTGCAATCAATGTTTTGCCCTAGTCAATTTTGAGAGTCCAAGACGAATAGATGAAATGCATGCACCCGTTGATCAGTATTGGAGAATAATATAAATTATATTATTAAATTTTACTTAATATTTTAAGTTTTTAGATGAAATATTCCTTTAATATGGTATCGGAGCTTAGTTTATCAAGAGATTATGGGTTTAAATCTCACCATCTTCAATTTTTCAAATATTAAACATAAAGTAGCGTGGATCGATACAAATTTCAAGTCTACATATTGAGGCTTTCACTGAGAGGATGTATTAGAGAATAATATAAATTATATTATTAAACATTATCTAATAACTTAAGTTTTTAGGTGAGATGATCCTTTAACAATCAGCATGAAAAATTTCAAATGTGAAAGAAAGAAAAAGAGTTTCTTTGCTGATTAATGTCAAATTTCTTTTATATATGAGACCCAATAGTTATGACGACCTCGATAGGTTTTCGAGCACTTCTACAAAAAGAAAGACGCAAAGTCTGTATTCGGTTCAGAGTTTGTACATTGAACTTTTACAATAACTATTTCAAGGAAGTGTTGTAAAGAAAGATAGATAGGAGTAATTAGTTGGTGCAAAGCCTTGACTCTTTGTAAAAATGATGGTAATTAAAGTTGAAGCTGTGAGGGCATGCAGTCACTTCATGGGGGAGCGGTACGTAGGGACTGTCTACTTGATTGGTATCATTTGAGATCTCTTTAGCCCGTCTGCTATGACTATTATCAAATCGAACACCTTATTTTGGTGAACTTTCAAGGAAGACGCAGTGTAGCGTCAATTATGGTCAGCTTTTAAGTCAAACATCTCCTAACTTTTATTCTGTTTAAAAATCAATTTTTTAATTCATTTAATGAAGAAATTTTAAAAATAATTATCGTAAATATATAATAATTATTCTATGATCTATTTTAAAAAATAGTTACATAAAAAAAGGATAATCATATTCAGATCTACTAAAAATGATAATATGGTTTCATTCTATGCTAATTTTTTTTTTTGTTTATATTTCTCTTATGGAGTAAGTATTGATAATTATTCACGAAATAATATAAAATTTTTTATTCATTTTTTTTTAAATTTAGTTCGTCATTTAGTTTTTTGTTATTTATTCCTAAAAATAACAATTACATAAATAGTTCTACGATAAAATCCATTTAATAAATTTTATCTGGACCTTCCTAAAAAGTTTCGAATTATTTTCTATTTTTCCAATTTTTTTTTGATATTTTAATGTTAAAAATAAAAAAATAATTCCCAATTTTGAAAAATTATGGATTTTTTTTTAAAAAATAGATTAAAATTTTCTCAATGGTGTAAAAAATTTTAGATTAAAATAATGAAAATTAAACTTTTTAGAGTGGAGGGGTGATAGCTGGAAATCACAACATAAACTAAATTTTAAAAAATCAAGAAAATCGAAACACAAATTAAAATTTTAAAAATTCATTTTCAAACGAATTAAAAATTTAGGAAAAATTTGGCCATTTTAGCCTTATTGTTGCCATGAACTTTATTGCGTCCATGCATACACATACCATAAGTGGAAGTTTGCGTAATTTATAAATTAGTTTTAGAAGCTAAAACATAAGTTGAACTTCACGCACTTCAATTCCATGCATATGTAAGCTAGAGCTACCAAATATCTCAATAGAAAAAAAAAAAAAATCCTACTTTACTTGGGATGAGATCATGAGATGTACAGAAACCTAACCTATAGACTTTCTGTTTAGTTAACCTCACTTCAAAGAGAAAAAAGTGTGGACATCTTATGATCATTTCATGCGACGAGGGTTAACAAATCAACATCCATCATCATCATTAACAACTAAAAATTACCACCTTTTTTTTAATTATTTTTCTGGTTAATTCGATCAGTATTTCCATGATTGTTGCATTATTAGCTGTTATCAACCTACTCTTTTTTTTTTTTTTAAAAAAAAAAAACCCTTTGAGGTATTGTTTGCCTTTGCCATCACCATAAATAGTGGTAGTGGGCAGCCTAACTCGAGCCACTATGTGAAAAGTACAAAATTCACCCATATCAAGCTAGCCCAGACATTACACAGACATGATGCAAATCTTTGACAATAAAATTATTTATGAAATTCACCGCCCTCGTTGTGCCAGCAGGTGGGCATGCATTAGCCACCTAGCTACCTATCTACTTCCCATCGAAGGAAAATGAGGGGATAATTGATCAATTAGGGTTGCTATATTTTTTTTTATTAAAGAAGATCAAATTGCCAAACCTCACAATTAACAAAACTGTAAATAATTAATATTTTATAGTGCTAAAACTCTTAAAAACGTTTTCAATGATAAGAGTTATAATATTCAATAAGATTGGTTTAAATAAAAAGGATTATATTCTTTTAAATAAATGATTTTGAATTTAAATCTTTATTTATATAAAAAATTCTCTGAATAACTATCTCTATTTTATATATTCTATAAAATAATAAATGATTAGTTTAAGTTTTTAGACTTAATATATCTTGAACGATTCCAAAAATAGAATCTGCTCACGTATCCTACTAATATTCTAGCTTGGACGGTTTGTTATGAGTTGCTAGCTTTTTTTTCACAGGACTTTATCTACGGTGACATGACTTTAGGGTGAGGAGGGATTAGATTATTTCAACGGTCATCAGAAGTTCTAATTAAAGAAACTATCAGCAAGATAATATAAATTTATAACCAAAGGGTGTAGGAACACGTGTGGTCAATTAGGTATCCCAACTTTGTTGGAAATAATATATCTTATTAGACTATTTCTTTTTCTTTAAAAAGTAAAAAATAAAAATAAAAATGCTCTAAGTAATACTAAAGTTTTTTGCAACCCTAATCACCATTGAGTAGCAAATATATGGCTAGTAGGGTCTCTTTCACAAAGTTCAAACCTAGCTTGCTAGAAGAGGGTGCTTAATACACTAGATGCTTGGTATATTCCAAACCAACAGCGCACTTCCTATGATGACTAAATCAACCCTGATGGAGATAGATGGATCGCTTTTTCTTTTTCTTCTTTTCTCCTCCTCTTTTTTTCCTTTGAATTTGTTCTGTGTTGAATGGTAGACGATTGGATTTCATTGGGCAGAGTTGTCGCAGCAATTCATTTCTTTGTAATCAAGTTTAAAACACGTATTGTCAAGGTCTTTTGAGACACATATATTACTTATCATCAAAGCTTCCAACTCCCAAGCGGGCCAGCAAGTTTTAATATGATGGCGTCATGTTTGTTGATCAATAAATAGTTGGCTCTATGGATCATTGACTCAATAGTTCTGGAAGATGAGATAATTAATCTAATTCGTAGGCTTAATTATTAATTACTCCATCAACATAGATACGTCACGGCATGATCAAGATATGTAATATTGCTTTGGATTGTTAAAGAATAATACAAACTTGTTTTTAAGATTATATTCGATAGTTTAATATCAGAATATTGTTAACTAAATAATTAAAAAAATAAAATTATTTTTAGAATCTCTTCTAATAATTTAATATATTGAGTTGAAATATATAGTGTTTTGATACTCAGTAGTTAAAATTGATAATGAAATTGTTAAAGGAGTAAATATTGTTTGTGATGAACGTAAACGAAAATGTCATTTAACGAACTTGGTAGATGGAGAACCGAAAATTTGGAAACGTTTAGATAATGCTAGTCAAACAAATTAAACAGAGCTAGGGCATGGCATCTAGGCCGCGTAGAAAGAGTCATAGGTTGTTGTGGAATTGCTTGTCGTAGGAGAGGATTTTATTTTATTTATTTATTATTATTTTTTTTTACAAAGAATGAAATGGGGGTGATGAATAATGTCTAACCATGTCTAAATCAAGAGTCTAAATTGGAACCCTACAGCTCACGTGTCATATTTTTCATGCGTTCAAAGTTTTTAGTGTGTCTCTCTAACTTGGTCCTGGTTGTTGAGGAGCTTGGCTTGTTCAAACTCAAATTCATGTTTTATAAAGAAAAACATTAAACAATCTGGCCATGCTTCCTTCTTTTCCACACAAAGACAACAAAGTAAACAGGCCATTCAGCAAATCATGGCTCGGAGAATGGCATTGTTTATCAACAAGATAACCTTAAATATCCGTATACATAATATACAAAATATGTCATCCCAAATTTTTTATTAACCTAAATAACATGTCCAGATGTCAAGAATTATGTGATTAATCGGTGGCTATAATCACCCCTTAAGTAGACCTTAACATTAGTAAACTCTATTTGTCGACATCAACCAATAGTTCTGCTTCTTGAGACAAAAAAAATTAATTGATTTTAATCCCATGTCAAAGGAGTTTGTATTACAAGAACCATTTGATTGCATTTGCATACATAATTTAACAAATAGTTGTTGAAGAGGGTGGGATTTTCATGACACATCTTAGCTAGATCTGTCTTTGTCAAAGAAGGCAAATCACTTGCTATAGTTATTGAGACATAACACATGATACATTAAATCCCACCGCCCTACGTTTTCTTACACTAAGTTATGTCAGACTTCATTTCTAGGGTAGCTAGGTTTCTTATTTGCAGACCTAAATTTAGTCACGCGTTAAGCCTTTTGCTCTAAGCTCAAACCATACCCAAATTACATTTGGTTTGGAGTAGAAGGGATGAAGTAGGAAACTAAATATCTTGTTTGTGTATGGCTATTATCAATGTGCTGGATATAAAATGAATATTCATTTTATCCGAGTCAATAAATATCTATTAAAAATATACAATGGTTATTGAAGTGAGTAAAAGTAAAAAAATACACACCTACTAATATATAAATATCCATTAAGAATGTTCAATGGACATTGAAAAGGTATAGATAAAAAAATACATACTCACTAATATGATTTCATGATATGAATACGTATTATTTATCTTATTAATACCTACTAATTTATTTAGTTTTTTTTATTAACATGTAGGGTCTAATTGCATAAAATTTAAAAATTAAGGATCAAACTATTTTTTAAAAAAACTTTGAGAACCAAACAACTTATAAATAAATGATTTTAAAAAAAAAAGATAAAAAAAGCTGTCTTAAAATTATAGAGGTTAAAATGAATATTTTTGATAAATTAAATTTGATAGGTATTTAATGAAAGAGTAAACTAGTACGAGCTGAATAATGATTTATATAATAATTTTTTAATAAATAATAAATAAAATATTATTTTTATAAATAAAATAAAAAAATTAAATTAATGAGTTAGATATGTGTCAATTGCCATCCTTAGTTACGAAGCGGGGTCGATACTCTTTAAAATATCATTTGTCCGTGTTGAGTTAGCATCGGATAAGGAAATGTATCTAATTATACAACATGCATGATCGGTATGTATCAAAATGAAGAGATACATCAAATATGAAGATATTAAAGACATGACATGACATGTGCATGATGTGGCCATTATAGGTTTTGATATTAATTAATTTTTTTTTGAAATAAATCCAATTTAAAATTAAAAATAATTTTGTGAATTAAAACTCAACAAATTCTAACAAGATTTCGTCATTCATTGGATGAACGTTTTTGTGTAATTAACATATATGTTAGATGATGAATGTTATTATTTGAGAGTAATATAAAATTATTTTTAAAACGTTACTTAATAGATTAAATTTTTGAATTGAAATAATTTTTTGATGTAGTATCAAAGTCTTGATGACCAAATAGAAGCGGGGTCGATACTCTCTAAAATATCATTTGCCCGTGTTGAGTTAGCATCGGATAAGGAAATGTATCTAATTATACAACATGCATGATCAGTATGTATCAAAATGAAGAGATACATCAAATATGAAGATATTAAAGACATGACATGACATGTGCATGATGTGGCCATTATAGGTTTTGATATTAATTTTTTTTTTTGAAATAAATCCAATTTAAAATTAAAAATAATTTTGTGAATTAAAACTCAACAAATTCTAACAAGATTTCGTCATTCATTGGATGAACGTTTTTGTGTAATTAACATATATGTTAGATGATGAATGTTATTATTTGAGAGTAATATAAAATTATTTTTAAAACTTTACTTAATAGATTAAATTTTTGAATTGAAATAATTTTTTTGATGTAGTATCAAAGTCTTGATGACCAAATAATTATAAGTTCGAATATCACAATTTTCATTCTCTTTTATTAAAATTAAATAAATAACTTTATTTTCTCTTTTTAAAATTAAATAATTAAACACATAAAGATAGTCGTGAGTCTGTGTAAATTTAAAGTTCAAAAAAATTTTAACTAAGAAGATGTGTTAGAAAGTAATTCAAAACAATTTCTAAAACCTCTCTCAATATTTTAAGTTTTTGAATTGAGATGATTTTTTTTGCTTTTGCATGTAATTTAATTATCTATTGTTTGCTGTTTTTTTATACATTTATTGATTAATATTTTAAATTTATATAAAATAAATTTTATTTTCTTAATCATTAGCTGTTCAAAAGGTTTTTTTTTGCCCGGGGGGTGGTGGTGGTGGTGGTTGGGGGGCGCGGCGGAAACCAAGACATGTTGGCTTTGGTACGTGACTAAAATATACGAGATCTACTGCATGCGATATGGTTATTATTATTATTATTATTTGGCTGCGTTTCATGTCTAATATGGGGAGTCTAGCCTTCCTAATTATATCTGCTTGGGTTAATTAGACAGGGCAAGTCAGGTTGCTCTTGTTGAAACAGCTGTCTTTTCGTATGTATTTAGAATTGCAAACCAGTTAAGTTTTTCTTACTTTGACTATAGAGCCACTTGCTATTATAGGTAATGGGCTGCTTAAGCATTTTTAATAATGTAATTCAAGAAAAGGATAGGTTTCCAGCAAATTATGGAGACCAAACTTCTTGTTAAATTGTAGTGATGGTGATTGAAAATTAATCGTTAACCAGAAACACAATTAAGCCACTATAGAATTAGATGATTTTTTTTTTTAATATCTATTGACGTATAAATTGATCCGATTTTTTTTTATTATTTAATAAAAAATATAATTGTAAAATAAAAATAAACAGCTTTATATTTTTCTGACACTACATATTACGCGTCAAAATATCTTATGTATTATTAATTCACAGACACATATACTTCAAAAAATAGGAGAAAATAAGGTTATATGCTTTACGTAAATTTCAAAAAAAAAAAATGGAAAAACCAACCACGCAAACCCAGCAAATACTCGTAATGGGGCTCAAGTGAAGATAAGATAAGCCTAACCCAACCCAATTGTGGACAAGATTAGCACTAAATTCAAGAGATTATAATGCTATCAAGAATTCCTAAAAGTTGCAATTAAAGGACTCAAGATGGAGAGAAATTCCAATGCAAGCAGGGTGGTTGGTTTTAACCAGACAAGATAAGTGACATTAAAGGATAATTAAGTAGAGGCAGTTGAGCTTTGAAAACCAATTATTTCTTTGAGAAATTATAAATTAGTCCCCATTGCTTCAAGAAGTGAATTAATTAGTCCCTTAAGATTCAAAAAATAATTATTTAGTCCTTTTTGATTTTTTTAATTTTTTATTTTAAGAAATAAAAAAATTAAAAATATAGAAAGTTTGATGAAAAAAGATATTTTATAAATTAAAAAATATTAAGTTAGTCATGGTCAACGTTGGTTGAAAAGACTAAATAATTAGTTTTTGAAACTAAAGAGACTAACTAATTTATTTCTAAAAACAAATTTATTTCTAAAAACAAGAGGGATTAATTTATAATTTACTCTTTTTTCTTTACTACATAAGGCAAAAATGGCTTGGTTTGACCTTTTTGTATGGGCTATAAATGGCAAGATTAGGTCGGTTATCATATATCATAGTAATTCGTGTCATCTTAGAGAAAGAAACCAAACTCTCTTTGCAATTTAACAAAATTTTCGAACGAAAAATTTTCAAACCAAACTTTCATTTACTCTGTCAAATAACTATCCACTTTATGTATCTCATAAATAGATAGGTTTGCTTTTGCAAGAACACATAGGAAAAACTATCAACCATGAGTAAAACTATCCACTTTATGTATCTCATAAATAGATAGGTTTTTTCTATATATTATCATCATTTTAGATTCAAATTCTATAAACGGATGCATCAAATTAATTGAAAGCTGACTTAAATTGAATATCATATGATCATTAAAAGAAAAAGTTTCCATCACTAATAAATGGATGACGTGAATCTACAATAACGGTGGGCTATTATTCAAAACATTATCATTTCATACATACACGTTAATTAGATACATGTATTTTGTGTGTATATATATGAAAATAAATGTTCGTATATATAGCATGGAATTGGCTTTGAAAGGAATGCTGTTCCAACACGGCAGTGCAAAATGTGGAATTATTGAAATGTGCACACACCCACCACAACATCCACCATCGTCGCCCAAAACACAAAGCACACATCTTGTCTGAATCTTGCCTTTTTCATCTTTCAACATCAAAAACATATGGTCCAAACAAGTAAGCCAAAGGGGTTATTCATTCATTCTATCTTCATTTGCCTACACGTGTGCAATTACCCACTTCTCTCTTGACCTCCTCAAAAAAAAAAAAAAAAAACACAAACGTGTGTGTTGAATCAACAACGTTAATTAGTCATCTTGTTTGAGAGTTTTTTTTTCCATTTCCTTTGTCAAGCATGCAAGTAAACACGTGGCATGAACAAGTCTTTGTCGTTGACGAAAATTACTGGCTAAAAAAGGGACAAAAAATGTAAACATTCATGCACCCACAATTTGTAATTTGATTGTTGGGGGGGCTGCTTTGAGTTTGAAATTGAAGTGTAAACAAATTAACCTCTCTCCATCCACGAGGATGTTGTGGAAAAAAACACCTGTTCCATGTTTCTTGCTGAAGGTGGTGTGAATGAAAGGGATATACCTATGGTATAACCATATCTAACTACATTCATATTCTGTGCACAACAGTTTCACTTCTCAAATTTCCTCATTACACGAGAAACAGAGAGTTTTGTTTTTTCCCTTTATTTTTTTGAGTAATTTTATAATACATCGAAGTAACTAATGATATATATAGTAGTTACTTCAATGGATCCACTTTGAAGAGAGAGATAGATAAAAAAAAAAATAGGAGAGTGAAAATAAAAAAATTTGAACGGACGTGAAAATCTTCTTATCACTTTTGGTAAGTATAAATGTAATTTCACTATTTTTATATGTGTCTATCTCTCTCTTTAAAATAGACTACATGAAATAACTATCGTATATGTCATTAATTACTCCCGATGTATTATAAAATTTCTCTCCTTTTAACAGGAGAGAAAAGAAAGGTGATGCTAAGAGGTACAGACCTAACGAGGGGAGCCCATGACCCGTTACTCTAAAAGTTTAAATTACATCAGAAGTTCCTGAATTTATTATAATTACACTGACCATCTATTTGTTCTCTCAATCACACGCTTATCTTGTTTTGTGTTGTTTTATTTATTTATTATTTTTCTTATAGTAAGAGTATTTTTTATCGAATAATTTTAAAAACGCATTTTTTTACATCAATTTAGTGTATTTAGAAAAAAATTAATAAAACGGTGGATCCAAAATTTGGATATAAAAAATTAAGAAAATGAATAAATATTAACGAACATGCCAATCCTTTGAAATTTTTGTGCTGTCTTGAACAAGATTTCAACTGACCCCTGAGGACGAGCTCAATGATCTAGCCAGGTATGAACTCCTACGCCTATCTTTTAAGTGACTTGTTTGTCTTTTTTCAGGGATTTAAAAGGGTGATTAGTTCTTTGTTTGTCGGATTATTTCAGGAAGTGACTGATGATTAGATACACCTCTTGGCATTGCCCAAAAAAAAAAAAAAGAAAAAAAAGAAGCAACGATGAAACAGATAAACTGATGATATTACGCTTATTTGTTATAAGGCTACTACTTATTATGGCCAATGGGCCATGCTTGTTTTTCTAACTTTGCAATTTCGAAATGGGCAATCTGGGCTTTGCCCTCCTCTATGAAGAAATCTTCGTTACAAGATTTTGGGTCCGGAATATATATATATATTCTTATATTTTTTATAGCTTCGGATATAATTTTTTTATATATCTATTTCTTTTTTCAAAATAAATCAATGTAATAATTATTATACATGTCATCGATTACTCATTTAATATATATATAATTTTCTTACAAAATATTTTTATTAAATGACGTGACGTTTGCTGTAGAAAAATGTTTTCAAATCATGTAATGTGAATCTTATCACATTTAAAGATGCAATGATAATTAGAAAATGTATTAGTTAACGAATCACCAATCATATAGTCCGACAGCTATTTATTAAGAAATTGTATCTCTAGAATTTTCCGTACAAAAATAGTTCATGAACTCTAATTTTAAAATTTTTATACAATTTCAACGTAAAAAAAGGTGATATATATTAATAAATCTATTCTTCATAGCTGGCTCTTATCTTATTCAGAAAAAAACTCAAAATTGTTCTTAAAAACTGATTCAAACAAGTCATTTGAGATTATGATTTTTGTTTTTTTTATTGATTATAAAGAAAAAACTTGAATTTGAGATTTCTCGACGCTAATAATAGTTGAGTTACAACTGAGTTCCTATTTTATACTACGGTTTTGAACTCAAACAAACTCAGTGGCTATTTGAGACTATGGTTGAACTCAAACAACCCATTGGGTTCTGCTGTTACTGTATCGAACATCCATTTGCAAAAGGCCATAAATTATTCTTTTGGGCCATAAAAAAGCCCCAAAATTGTTAATAAGAATTGATTCAACGATGTCGTTTTATCAGAAAGGCAGGCAGCTTACAAGGAGCAAAGAGAAGCTCCGTGCTTGTGTTCTTCACATTCCTCTGTTCTCTCTCCAGCAAAACAACAGAAAAATGGTTCTAATCTGTCATCAGAGACACCTAAATTTCTTCAAGAACAGACAACAAAGCATTAAAGCGTTAAAGACAAGAACCAAAAATCAGAAAGCCAACAACTTTTGCACCAAATCCCAAAACAGCAACATAGTCAATGAAATCACAGCATTTCTCCAACAAAAAAACTGGGAATCTTTATTACGTTTAGTATCACATAAGCTAAGCCCAGATATTGTTCACTCAGTTATTACAAAACAGGTAAATGATCCTAAACGTTTGTTAGATTTCTTCTACTGGTTTCAGTCTCAAATGGGTTTCTCTCAAAATTTACAATCCTTTTCAATGCTTGCATTGATTTTATGCAATTCAGGGCTTTTTTCTAGGGCTGATAGTGTTGTAAGTCAAATGATAATGATGTCTAGTAGTGGATATTTAGAGATTTTGGATTCATTTATTAAGTCTTATAAAGAGTTTGATTGGAATAATGGTAGTAATAATAATTGTGGGGTGGTTTTTGAGTTGTTGATTGATGGGTATAAAAAGGAAGGGCTTTTTGACGAGGCTGTTAGTGTTTTTTTGGGTGCTAAAAGGAATGGTTTTGTTGCTGGCTTGTTGTGTTGTAATGGGTTGTTGAGTGATTTGTTGAAAGCTAATAGATTGGATTTGTTTTGGAGAGTTTATAATGGGATTTTAGAGGCTGATGTGGTGCATGATGTCTATACTTATACTCATTTAATCAATGCACATTTTAGAGCAGGGAATGTCAAGGAGGGCAAACATCTGCTTTTCGAAATGGAAGAGAAGGGTTGTAGTCCTAGTTTGGTTACTTACAATGTGGTGATTGGTGGGTTGTGTAGGGTTGGGAACGTTGATGAAGCGTTTGGGTTGAAGAAGTTGATGGTTGATAAGGGTTTGGTTGCAGATGTTTTTACTTATAGTATACTTATTGATGGGTTTTGTAAACAGAAGAGATGTAGTGAGGCAAAACTGATGTTGGAAGAGATGTTTAGCAAGGGTTTAAAACCTGACCACGTTGCTTATACTGCTTTGATTGATGGGTTCATGAGACAAGGTGACAGTGGAGAAGCATTTCGGGTTAAGGAGGAGATGCTTGCTCAAGGAGTTAAATTGAATCTTTTTACGTATAATGCTCTCGTTAAAGGGGTGTGTAAGTTTGGTGATATGGAGAAGGCAAATGCGCTTTTGAATGAAATGATTATGGTGGGGATAAAACCTGATACCCAGACTTATAATAATATGATTGAGGGATATTTGAAGGAACATAATACAGCACAGGTTAACGAGTTATTGGCTGAGATGAAGAAGAGGAACTTGGTGTCCACTGCATACACTTTTGGCATTATAATCAATGGTCTATGTCGTCATGGAGCTATTGAAGATGCCAGTAGAGTATTTGAGAGCATGGTTTCTCAGGGCGTGAAACCAAATGCTGTAATCTACACAACTTTATTAAAAGGTCATGTTCAGGAAGGCAGATTACAAGAGGCAGTGAGGATTTTAAAGGTAATGGGAAGTAAAGGGGTTCAACCTGATGTATTCTGCTATAATTACATTATCATTGGCCTCTGCAAGGCCAAAAGAATGGAAGAAGCAAAGGATTATCTGGTTGAAATGATAGAGAGGGGACTTAAGCCAAATGTGTATACTTATGGGGCTTTAATACATGGATATTGCAAGTCAGGGGAAATGCAAGTAGCTGACAGGCACTTCAAGGAGATGCTAGGTTGTGGTATAGCACCAAATGATGTTGTTTGCACAGCTCTGATCGACGGGCATTGTAAGGAGGGTAGCACTATGAAAGCCACTTCAATTTTTAGATATATGCTTGGACAGGCAGTGCAACCAGATGTGCGGACTTACAGTGCCCTCATCCACGGTCTCTCAAGGAATGGGAAACTTCGAGAAGCAATGGAGCTGCTATCCGAATTTCTCGAAAAGGGTTTGGTGCCTGATGTCTTTACTTACAACTCTATCATTTCTGGCTTTTGCAAGCAAGGTGGTATAGGGGAGGCGTTTCAACTTCACGAAGACATGTGCCAAAAGGGCATCAGTCCTAACATCACCACTTACAATACTTTGATCAATGGGCTATGCAAGGCAGGTGAGATTCAAAAAGCCAGGGAACTGTTTGATGGAATTCCAGGAAAGCGTTTGGCGCATAATGGTGTGACCTATGCGACTATCATAGATGGATATTGCAAATCTGGAAATCTAAGCGAAGCATTTCAGTTATTTGATGAGATGACATCGAAGGGAGTTCCACCTGATAGCTTTGTCTATAGTGCCCTCATTGACGGATGTCGCAAAGAAGGAAATACTGAAAAGGCCCTCTCCCTATTCTTAGAAACAGTGCAGAAGGGCTTTGCTTCCACTTATTCTTTCAATGCTTTGATCGATGGATTCTGCAAGTCTGGGAAGGTGATTGAAGCTAATCAGTTATTGGAAGACATGGTTGATAAGCACATCAAACCAGATCATGTGACCTACACAACTCTGATTGATTATCATTGCAAGACAGGGCTGATAAAGGAAGCAGAGCAATTCTTTGTAGATATGCAAAAGAGGAATCTGATGCCAAATACTTTAACTTACACAGCTCTTTTATGTGGTTACGACAGAGTGGGGCGCAGATCTGAAATGTTTGCTCTTTTTGATGAAATGGTTGCAAGAGGTATTGAGCCTGATGATGTTACCTGGAGCGTGATGATTGATGCTCATTTCAAAGAAGGTGACTATGTGAAAACTTTGAAGCTGGTGGATGACACGTTCAAGGGTGGTAATGTGAGCAAAAATGTGTGTAGTTTGCTAATTGATGCATTGTGCAGAAAGGAACCTGTTTCTGAGGTGCTGAAAGGACTTGAGGAAATTGAAGAGCAAGGGTTAAATCTCAGTCCTGCTACTTGCAGCACCCTAGTATGCTGTTTACACAAAGCAGGCAAAATGGACAGTGCAGGCAGGGTCTTAGAGAGCATGGTTAGATTCAAATGGGTTCCAGACTCCACTGAGTTAAATGACTTAATCAATGAAGACGGAGACAGTACAAACTCTGAGAATGCTGGTGATTTCTTAAAGCAAACGGCATGGGAAGTTGCTTACCAGGTGCGGGCCTGATTGCTTGTTATTGGATGTGGGAATTGGAGTTGTAATCCTTCAAACTGTTTTCTTTCTGTAGTTTCATGGGATTATGAATCTCAGCAACACTTCCAGGAATTGAACGATGGGCTTAGAAAGCAAAGGTGACAGTCAAGTCTCATGTTCGTACAACGTTGGGTTAGCTTCTTGTGAATTAGTTACCAGTCACATTGGAGACTTGCAACCAATGCAGCATTCCATACTAAAATGGTGTCACAATAATTTACAATATGCATCTTTGCTCGGAAGGTCACCAAAACAAGGTTTTGGTTAGAGAATTTGGAGAGAAAGGAATGCCAACAACAGACATGTCAGAGGGACATTTAATCACCTACGGTTTTCCATGAGGCGCTGGCCCTCAGAATTCGAAATGGACCGTAATTGCTTAGAAGGCCTTTACCTTTCCACCAAGTAATGACTCTTAATTCTTCATCTTATGATTTTCTTTTCTCCTCATTTCTCTTTTTCCTGGGGGTAAAGCCAGAAGCGGTTTCTGGATTTCCACTACAGTTTGAATAATTCCATTGTTCGAAATGGGCAATCCATCCTTTTGAAGGCTTCCTGATAAGTTTAATGATTCTCTGTTTTCTTGTTAACTTTGCGTCTAACAGGAAAATATTATGAACAAAATTAGACAGTGAAGGAATCTGACATCCTCCTGACATGAAAAAAGTTGTCTTAACTGTCAAAAACTTGCCTCGATAGGGTAATAATCTATATTCTTTATCTTTTGTTTCGTTCTTTTTCTTGAAGTTATGGTAAATGGTGATTTTACTAGCTCTGTGAAATTTCTGTTATTTGTCAGGTCTAAATAATGAACATCATTAGGTGCCGAAAATTCATATTTGAAAAAAAAAAAGTACTTTTCTGGCTGTATTTTTGCCAATGATAAGGAGGTTTGCTTGTGCTGACAATTTGCCTTGTTCTAATAGCTCCTTGACTTTGAGCAGGTAAAAGAAGAAAATGGCAAGTCAGAGGGATAAGAATAATTGCTTGAAGCAGGCTGCTATCAACGCCAGCCTGTGGCACTGGCTGCAAACGTAAAAATCCACAGCTGAGGCTACCCTGCATCATCAGATTTGTAAATCCCTAAGATTATGGCTGCGAAAGCGAGCAGAGCAGCACCAGGCAGAAGATTACCATGATTTTAACTTTTGTCATGGTTTCTAGTTCTCTGTATATTTGAGTTACCAGGTTGCATATCCTCTGCATCTAATGATGCTCTTTGTTATCTTTTAAGGTCTAGAGTTCTGCAATGTTCAAATTTTTAGCAGATTCATCTGAGGTGCATTGCAAGGGTAGTATTTTATTCTTTTTGGTATCCAGCTATCTAAATAAAGAAGCCTAGCAAGCTGGAGGATACCTGCAAGAACAATAAGGTTGTACTAATATTGGTTTCCTATTCGATTTAGTAACTACAGTTATGGTTAAGATTTGCTCTTGGACCATTCTTCTCCTCTCTCTCTTTCTTTGTTCCAATGGGCCATTCTTCTCTAACATAGATTCCATCATTAGTATGTTTTGTGATCAAATATGACTTTGCTGAGACACAATGAGTGGGTTCTTTCCAATTCCCTCTGTAAATCCATTACGTAAATTAATAGAATATTTGATTCTCAACTCATAATGGGATATTTCATCATCATCCGTGGGGAAATTTCAGAGATTATAAACTCTCCCATCAGATTTGAGTTATTTTGTTCTTGGAAGCAGTAATTCTCTTTTACCAGAGGGTAACAATGCTCTGAAACTCACTTTCTTCGAGAGAGAATAAGTAGAGTAACGTGGAAACAACAATACAGTAACTATATAACTATACATCCTTTCAGAATCCTAATGAAAAAGTTACAGCTATGCAATTACTTTACAACAATAACCTATACCACAATCCTGGTGGGTTAAAAAACGGTCAGCGTAAAGAGAAAGCACCTATAATTATACAAATTTTGGTCCATCCTCTTACAAGAAACCAATTTTACAGTAACTAGAATATGATACAGAAGTTGTCCCTTGATTTGAATTGGGGACTCCATTCACCGCCTTTGAGTAAAGTGTTTGCCTGTTAACAGAAGTATAAGCTCGCTGTCATCAATGGATGATCCTGATGCAAGCTGTAAAGCAGTATTGCCCTTCTCATTCACAGCTTGTGGATCGGCTCCCCTGCATCATCAGATTTGTAAATCCCTATGCAGCCGTTGCAACATTTCAAATAATAGCCTCCAACCATGATTAAGTTCAACTAGATCAAGAAAATTGTTGACAAAACTCTAATACAACATAAATATGAAATGTGGATGCTTGCCCACATATTCCCAGTTTTACACTACCAAATTCTTTGCCCCACAATAAAAATAGCAAGCAAGAGGGAATTTTACTCATGGCATAGAAAAATGGATGTTGGCAGGGAAGTTCAAGAAGCTAGCCACTTAACAGCACATGAAAAAACTTTCCATTTTTACCAAAGCCAATAGAATTACTTTAAAGAATCCAATTGCAGTATATAATTTTACTACGTTAAAAGCAAAGCGTAAGGATGATGTGATAAATCCTTTTCCAGAACAAGATGAAAAACAAATTTTGGCTAGTAAGGACATGAAAAGCAAAGGCTCGACAAAAGAAAGAATTACCTCATAACCAGCAATTTTGCAATAGGATATCTCTTGCTGATAATGCAATAGTGCAGTGCTGTATGCCCTTTTGAATCAGAAGCATTTATATTTGCGCCATATTGTAAGAGTAACTCTACCATGCCATTGTCAGCTGTTAGGCAGGCAAGGTGAAGCAAAGGACAGCCATCGGAAATTTCCTTTATGAGCTGGTCCTCGCTTCTATTTAATGACTTCAGATAGCTTGCTGATAGCTTGTTCAAAGAATCACCTGCAAAGCAATCAAACTTGAGATCAAGATTTTCCAGCTCTTCAAACTACATTACACTGGCCATAGTTAAGGACGTACTAAATGATGCTTGTCCATGGATGGCATTGACATCTGCCCCAGAGCAGACAATATGGCGGTAAACTCCTTTCTTGTCATTAGAATGGATGCTTTCCCACATTTGTTGCACCGCTGTATGCTGATTGTCCTTTAACTTGCATACAAAAACTTTTTGGGCATACTGCAGTGCAGGAAAACTGTCAGATTGAGTCCCAAAATGACAAAATCTACTGGGTTATTATAACTGAGATATACTTCCTCCCTAATGAGACATTTCAAGCAATAAGCCAAACAAATTTGACATGATGAACGGCGGCTAATAACAGGAATGGGATGAACACACATGCATAAAGTAAAGAATAAAATACTGCAAATACAGGATGCATATCAGAGGAAGTTGCAAAAATTATTTATCTTTAAAATTAGGAATTTTAACATGCATTCTTGTCTTCTGGGAACAAATGGTTTCCCCATCATGAATGTAGGTGACAAAAAGCAATCATCTGAATGGGTTTGGAAGAGACCAAAAAGGCAATTCATGAGGATGCCAAAGTATTTGTTTCTTTAATATTTGACGTATATTCGCAAACTGCTGGACCAAAAAAATGGAATAATGATCAAGTCAATTTTTGTGAAGTAATAATTATTCCCAAGGCCTGTCTTGACTTCAAAGAAACAAACCAAAACCTTTATTACTACACTAACCAAACTTCTAAACAGACACGTAGATGCATGATCCCGCATGATTCCCTAAGGGACCATATAGCCTTGGTGGATTGAACAACCCAAGCCTTGGGCCCACACTGCCTGTTGAATGTTTAAAGAGTATTATGATGGCTAGATTAGGTGCTAAAGGCCATCAATGGACAGCAGGTGTTGTAAAAGCATCCACATATGAGACAGCTCAGTACTTATGCCATTCTTATCTGTATTCTAGCTGCAAGAAAATCTCATTCAAATCTCTCACCATTTTTTTTGTCTTCTTACTTCGAGAAAGTATCTAAGAGCCTTCATAATCCACCTTTAGACCAAAAACTCGACCTATCCCCATCTATTCCCAAGTTAAGCGCATAAACTAGCTACAAGCATTCATTACAGAACTATCAGTGTGAGAATGGTATGTAAATCGACTAGCTCATAAGGTTTGAGAAGCCTCATGATAAACGACCAATTAGTTTACTAACAAATTCCATCTCTTGTTCATTCTCCAAAAAAAAAAAAAATCCATCTTCGGTTCAGAAACATACAAGACATGTTCTCTTTTCAGAAATAAAGTCATCTAGGGAGCAAGAGATAGGTGTCACATTGTCACAATGACCACTGTTTGGTTGGGACTTTCCTCAAAGGTCTAGATAATATAATGCGAGTCACAGTTCAACACTGGGGAAATAAACAAGAGATGTATAAAAGGAATAGAATTATTCAGTGCAATACCTTTGCATGAATAAACTGCTCCTTCACTGAGATAGGATCGTCGGGATTGGGTTTCCTTATGCGGAGCAGCTTGTGTCTATCAGATTTAGAAAATCTAAACCACCAAAAATTCCAACTTATTAGTATTGAGAAAGAAAAGAAAACCAAATCTGAAAAAAAAAAAAAAAAAAGGAGAAGAAGAAGAAAACACAACAGTTTAAAACATATCAAATTCCTGCATTACTGACCCCTTAGGTACTTCATCAGAAGTAGAACTTATTGAATGCAACAACTCCTCCCATATTTTGTTTGCATAATCATTTCCCAGTGACTGAAACAAGTTTAAGATAGATGGATCCCACACTTTTACATCGAGTGTTAGTGATCTTACCTGCATTAAAGGGTATCCACAATGCCATGAATGTGCTAAAAGAAGGAAGCACAGAGCAAAGTACCACAAGTGTAAATATACTCAAACATCAACGAGGCCAAGCTCAAATTAAAAAAAAAAAAAAAAAAAAGCAGATAAAACAAAATTGCAACAAACAATTATAAAAGACCTGGATTTTTCTCTCTCAACACACCCAAATTCAAACATCAACAACTGTAACAGTGACAGACTTTACATGATGTGAAAGCTTATTTCACCATTTTCTTCTTATTTTAGATTATAATTGCATGGTTGCTACCACAAGGAGAGGTTGATACATGGCTGTAGAGTTAGTCAACTCACACACACACACACACACACACACACACACACATATATATATGTTACACCTATTAGAGACAGAAATAGAGAAGAGAATTGTAGAATTGTATCGAATAGGAGTTAAGTGCATACACAGAGTAAGAAAATGGAGCAACGACTCATTTTATTTTAGGTTCAGGTTTGTTATAAGTAGATTTAAGACTGTTAAAGGCACCTCCAGGAACACATTAGAATTGCATGCAGACTGTTGTTCACACAGAAGAATACAAACATTTTGTCAGTAATGATCTCAATTTTCCAACAAAAATATCACTGGCAACCTCAGTTATAGATCAACTAAGACATTCAGGACGATTAAAAAGTAACAGTTAAATGAATCTACAGTTTAGTCCCATCAAAGTTAATAATGTACCAGTCCTCTGCCCTAACCCCCTCACTCCCATTAGAGAGAAAGCGCATAGATTGGAGTAGCCAAGTGTATGCACACAGTAAGAAAAAATGAAGCAAGGACTGATTTAATTTTAGGTTCACTTTTGATATAAGGAGATAGACTGTATAAACTGTAAAGGCACCTCCAGGAACACAATAGAATTGCAAGTAGACTATTGCACAGGTGGAGGAATAAGGTATTTTTGCAGTACTGATCTCAATTTTCAAATGAGAAAACATCACTGGCAGCCTCAATTATATATCAACTTAGACATTCAGCACAAAAAAAAAAAAATTTATCGAATCTACGATCCATTCCCCTCAGAGAAGTTAGTATACCTCGATTACATGTCCTGCCTTACTCCTATTAGAACGAGAGAGAGAGAGAGCAGAATTGTATTGAGCAGGAGTTAAGTGTATACACACAGTTAGAAAAATGAAGCAAGGACTCGTTTGATATAGGTTCAGTTTTGATATCAGTATATTTAGCAGTGGTACCTCATGCATAAACTCAACAATTGGTTAGGCCAACTGGCAAACAGAAGCACATTTTTCTTTTAGTATACTTCCTTTTAGGACATGTGGACACAAGCATGTCTCCCTCATTCATGTTTGTCTGTGCTTCTTGTGAAACATTTCTTTGAAATGCAATGCTTCTAAGGTTTATATCTTAGGTTCATCAGAGAAAAGCACAAATTTTGTATTGCTTATCTGAAACTTCCATTCAGAAACAATGAAACCAAAATGATCAAGCATTGATAAATTACCTTTGATATATGTACCCCAAGATTACGATGAACACCAGAACATTCAATGCATATAAGAATACCAAGGTTTAAGGATGCCCAGTCTGGTTCAGGTGCACCACAATCAGCACATCTGTCATTCCCAGGCACTCTTTTTAACACATCAATTGGCTTTTCAATTTTTATTATGCTGTAATCTTGTCGTTGCAAACTTCTGGTTGGATGTAAATGACTTCCGGTATCAAATGTGAACTCCTCAATCTCTGTCTGATCAATGTCAGGAGAATCTTCGAATGAGCCACTCTCACTAACAGAGTGATGGTCACCACTTCCCATTGGACTCGAAGAAAGAAACTGACAAACAAATGGGCCATGTTCATTAATATACATATAGAGACAAAAGATACAGAGTACAGGAAAAGCTATAGACATTTACTCTTTCAGTGATCTGGGAACTCAATAACGAAGTGATCACCCCATTTATCTTTTCAATCCAGTCCATTTGGTCCAGTGCGTTCTCTGCCTGTGTTAAGAATTAATACAATTGAGAACTTTTTGAAACTTAAACCTATTTCCCAAATTTACAAATTCATTCCTGATTGTAATTTGCAGCAGGAAGGAAAATAAGTTTTTTTTTCCTGGGTATTTTTATATTCAACAATCAATATCCAAGTTATATGTTCAAACTGCAATTCGCTGACAAACCTGCAAAGTGTAGACCTTCATTGGTGAAATAATCCTGAAGCAGAATCTTAAATCCGATTGATCTGCATCAACCTTTATTGTTGATGTCAGCAGGTTCACAGTGTGACGTGCAACAGATTTTTCATCATGCACGCCGCCATGGTAGTGAGAAGAAAGCCACCGACTCAACAATCCGTGACCATTTTCAGAAGAACCATTTCTCTGTACTGCAGATTGACTCCCACCTGACTGAAATAGGGCAGTGCATAACATCCAGTGAACAGATGTCAGATTCTAAAAGAGGTATTAATTGACAGCTCTCAACATTACAGGATATATTCCAGTGAATGGCTTACAGATGACCAGTTGAATGGCTTGCGATAGTAGTAAAGCATTCCTCGATTATCAAGAACAAAAAACCTTCTTTTCCAATCACCTCTCAAATTTGAGGAACGTTTTGACAGATATCCTTGTCGAATGGTTTGAACCTGTGTAATTGTACTCTTAGCTAGTCATGCAAGCAAAGATACTTTGAGAATGTCATAATTGTGGGAAGAAAACAAAAAGGCAAAATTTTCAACTTATAGACAAAATCATGTTAAAGGTGAGCTACACTTGAGAACTACCTTCCCCTTTGCAGCAGTTTGCATAACCTCCTCTATCACTTTTTGTGAACTCCTAGCTGTAGGCCGTGTGCTATCTTTATGAGGAGAACCAAGGATGCCATTTACAGAATGCCTACTTTCTTGATCAATATGCTTCATGAACTCTTGCATCCTTTCATGAAGAGATACTTGTTCATAGTTGGAACATTCTCTAGACTGCTGTGCATAAGCCAAGACCTATAACATAACAGCCAAGGGCTCATATATTCCTCCAACTAAGAGAAATTTAAAAGGTCAGATTACATTTGCAGCAATATTCAGCTCCTTAGACCCGAGGAAAGACAATCAAAGGGGACAGGCAAGAATGTTCTGGCTTAATCAGATTCATGGATACAGGAACTTCGAACCTCATGCGCAAGGAAAGCCACAATATAAAACATATGAGAAATTCTACTAATTGAAAGTTAGTCCCATCTATAAGTTGGGGGAGAATTGGTCAATTACGAGTGAAGTCATAAGACATACTGCTTAATTGGTATACCTCCATTTTAAGCAACCCTTTATAAATCAGACATCGAGGGCTTTACCTTTTCTGTGCATGTTGCTTGACCAGAAACTTCTATATTTTCTATTTTTTTAACCAGTCTGTCCCAGATGGTATAGACAAAACCTTTTGCTCAAATGGTCAATGAGATCTTCTAAAATACGTGTTGAATGATGGTAATAATGATTCTAGGATCTTGTATTTTTCTTCCAAAAATCCCTTTTCAACCCCATAAAAAAGAAAAAGAAAGTAAGTAACGACAGCTTCCAGGTTACTTACTGACAACTCCACCATGCAAGAACTGAGGACTTGAGAAGTTGTTTTTGAAAAGAAAAAAAAAAACGTGCACTGTAGGGAAACTGAACTGATTTTTTAACAGTATAATTTTTTGCAGGAACAAATAGAATTAAAAAGACCTGGTTAATGAAAGGCTCCATCTGGTGCAACAGCTCATATCCCTGAAACAATCAGGAATTCAAAGTCAAGAACATACAGAGTCATGAATGAATTCACACTTGATATCACAGAGGATACCTGCTTGAAGAATCTAAGATGAGCATCCATTGTTCCACTGACAGCCTCCAGAAACTCAAATCTCTTCTTGGCCTCGACAACAGAAACAGCACTAATCTGAAAATAGAATATCATGCAGTATATTTAACCCAAGTTGCTTCTTATTGTAAATTTATTGGACCCATGCGTTCCTCGGTTGAATAAACTTACCAAATTAAAGCGTGCTTGCTCAAAAGAGGATCTTGCATTGTGCAGTTCCTGGAACGGTCTCTCTACCAAATTAGATTTAAACTGATGGTTACCTACGATTAACTACCTGAACAATCTATACATGAAACTAGATAGTACTTTAGCATTAGAAGTCAGCTGCTATGGATTGTACCTCCTGTATGGCAGAAGCTACATCCGTCCTAGTACTCTTCCTCAATGAAAGAAACTTATCACGCGCCTGCACACAACATTAAATTGGAACTGAATTTTGTCATGATCAAGAATATATTGGGTAACACAATCCTTGAAAGTTTAAGTACATAAACCATATATAATTACTCATGCAGAAGAACCCTCTTCAAAAAGGAAAAGAAAAGAAAAGAATACTAGCGACACCTCTGAATAGAAACGACAAACCATCTATGATAACAAGGACATAGAAACTACTCTGCAAGAAATTAGTGTAGACATAGAAGATGATAATGATGTATTATTCTTAGCTTTATTGTTGTGAGTATTATTAGATGAATATATTAGCAAGAGATTGAGAACCTAATCGTAAGGTGGACATGGATTACAGGTCGCATATACAAAATTCCATAGAACCTGGCAGTTATTTTTTCATGGAAGGCCAGTCATTTAAATTCATGGAATCCATACTCAATCATTTATAGGTTGACACATCAGTTTGTATGGAAATTTAATATGAAAAGTTTGTGTGTGTGTATATATATATATATATATATATAAAAATATATATATAACTCACACACCCAAGGCTCCTAACAAAACTAGTCTACTAGGATTTGAACCCGTGATCTCTTGTTGCTAGAGATCAGTACCACTAGCCTACAAGCTCTTTGGTAAGTTTGTTTGTATATCATTTTCATTTCATTCTTGTTTTGGATATAAGCAGCATCTACCACAAGGACCCTTGGACCCTTCTTGTGCAGCTACCCGTAAATTTTCAAGTCCAAGTGAAAGGAGTTCATCTTCCAGAAAAAAATAGAGCAAATGAATCAGTCAAGCAGATGGGAAAGGTACACTATGGGAAATCTATTATGAAGGGAATTTATTACTTGGAACATATTTGTAATTTATTTCTATAATTGAACATAAAAAATTTGGCAAGTTTGAATTCCACAGTTGTTGCTTCTATTGGCTTTCTTAGAATCTGGATACGTGAAGATCTATCCACAAGCAAAAACATTTGCATTTACTAGGAAACCGATATCACCAAAAGTTGAGAGATATTGGTAAATAATTTACTCAAGTTTTCTTTTTCTATATGATGATTCTTTGGTTAAGTTTGTTAGTACCTTTGTACCACAAAATATTCCTCCTCAACATATCGAAATGAAACCAAAAAAAAAAAAAAATGTTTTGAAATATTAGCATTTACAATGCCTTTGTGCAAAAACAACATTGAAATATGATCCAGTTAGGGGTGACAATGTAATCATGAGTAATGAAAGACATTGCAATGCCAGCTGAAATCCATGGAATTTAGAGAATGAAAATCTTGGTAAGTTTGCAACAGAGACAAGATACAAAATATACATGCATACCCTTCAAAGTTATAACACATAGTATTAGATGAGCAACCCACCTGATCATACATCATGGAAGCCTTGTCAAAACGCTTCCGTGCTTCCTGCACCAACATAAGATTACTGTAGCTAAGCAATGGTCTGTTATCACAGCTTAGACAGCAGTCACTAAAAATAGACACATTTATGATTATAGATTATGAGCACACTATAGTTTCAACGAAGTCAGTGCACAAGGAATTCTTCTTAAACAACAGTGTTCTGTAGTCCAAACTTGCAGGCAGTGACTTTTTTCTAGGAAGAAAGCATATATTCATCAGGAAATACAAAGTACCTTGATGTCTTGCAGATCAAAACTAACAAAACGCTGCAACTTATCATTTAGAATGTTCTCCACCTGAGAAGGCCAATTTCAAATGGTGGTACAGCAAATCACTTAAAACAGTTCTCCATATTCTGTATTTAAATGGACAAAATGAAAACCATATCTAGGAAGTCTAGGAAGCATGCAAAAACCGTAATATAAATTGTCTACCTGTGACCGAAGAACTTCCTTGTATGTACCAATTTCTCTCAAAGCGATTGTGAATTTGTTCATAACAGGGCCTAAGGTTGCCAAAAAAAAAAAGTATTAAGTTATGAACAGCAAACACATCGAGTTGTTTATTAGGTCCCTTGAGTTTTACATATACGAGAATAACAGATATCACAGTAAATGCAACATCATTTGAAAAAACTGTGATAATGATAAAACATGAATAAGATACATGTAACATGCTGTGCAACAATAAATGATGCTTCATCTTGACTGGTCAAGAGCTCGTGTGACTCGAGCAGATTTCTCACCCTTTGAGGAAAAAAACCCAAAGCTCAAGATTGGTTTTTCAAGAGCTAATGTGATCTTATTAACCTTGAGTCTATCATGAAAATGATTCAAATTATTAAGCTAGGCCCAATTACAGCTTATCTTCGCTAAGTAGCACTAAATTATGCCCTAACCTAATCATAAAATTATCTATACCAGTTCAAAATGCAGGTAAGCAACAAATGAACATAAATTTTCTATATGAAGAACAAACATTTAGACCATATTACGGAGTCGGTTATTTACACCAGTGATTATCTTTTTGTCACATCCGGATAAAATTAAGGGACAGGTTCAGTCGGAGGGAGATGTTGAATTGCAAAAGCAAGTCAGTCAACATACTTCACAGCAAGTAACCATGTTTCTATCCATCAAGGTTGTAAGACAAAGCAGCTCCTCAACCAGGGCAATAACTAAGTCACTACATAGTGACAAAAGCAAACTTACAGGCAGTGGAGAAACAGAGCATTACTCTGATCCAGCAACATAAAAGCAACAAATTCACTTCATAAGCATAGGTAAGGGAAGCACAAACAGAAAAAAAAAAAAAGTGGATGTACCTCCAAAAGCAACACAAATTGGATCATTATGGCCTCCTCCAAAATTTTCAAGCGCACTAGCAAAAGCAATATCCCCGTCATATCCTTCTCCAAGCCCTTCTCTGAAAATTCAAGAAAGACAACACGAAATGCCACCCTAAGAAACATTTTCTCTTCAAAATTCAACGGCTAGCATTCGAAATTACATAAAAAAAAAGGCAAATAAAAACGCCAACTTAGACTCACGTGTACTTTCGGCATCCTTTATAAAACTTCAAACACCTGCCTCTTAATGCCTCGGCATTTTCTTCCATGCATTGCATCTATTTTCACATCAATATAATACAGTTAACCATAGTCATCCCCAAGCCAAACACACATTTTTTTTAAAAAAAAAACAAAAGTGCACAAGTTTTTATTGTTCACGTGCAAAATTCACAATAAACACAAAAAAAAAAAAAAAAAATCACAAAAATATCAACAAATTTATTAAAGCAAAATCCTTAAGCTAAATAATAATGATTAATTAATAACGTGGTTAGCATGTGGAACTATAACTTCTCGCGCCATTTTTTCCTCCAGCTAAAATTAACACCAGAAAGAAAATGCTTCAGGAAAAAAATGCTTTCAAAATGCTATGAATGCAATGTGGAATTCGTGGAAGATTAATCATGTCAGAATCAGGTTAAAATCGCGAAGTTTGGGCTCAAAATATCGGAAACAAACAAAAATTACCGTAACAAAAAGAAGAAGAAGAGAAAACCTGTTGCCGAAACATCGGCGAATCGTCGAGTTTAGAGAACTGCATTTTTGAAAATTCTCAGCAATAATAATTCAAAATTATGATTATTTTTCTTCTTCTTTGTCTGTTTTGTCGTTTTAGCTTTTGAATGTCTGCGTACAGAAGGAGAGAGAGGAAGAGACAGCTACTTTTCCTTTTTACTAAAAAAAGAAAAAAATACAATCTGTGTTTCGATTAACGGCCCGCAATTGAAGGAATTTTTGTGTTGTTTTGATGGATTTATCAAAGCAGCCTTCTTTTTGGCGAACTTTAATGGCTGTCTCTCAAAAACAGCACCCGCGCCCTTTGTTTTCGTTCTCTTTATAATAAAACTCCACATTTATTTATCTACTTTTTGTCTTATTTCCGGGAAATATCTCTATCTTTCATCCCTTTGTTTGTATCTATTCACCAAACCATCCCTGTGAAAATATTTGGTCCTATATTTATCACATTTTGACAATTTCACCCAAAGAGGCTCAACTCTAAACAAATTTCCAGTTGCCTGTTAAGCGCCTGTTTGGCTTGCTTGTTGGTTTTTGCGATTGTGTTGTTAAAAAAAAAAAAAATGAAAAAAAAAGCACATATGGAGCAAAAAGTAGATTAGAGAAGTGTTTATTTTACATCCTATAGAATAAAACAAAAACTATTTTTGAAACTATTATTTTATATTAAAAATACAAAAAATTATTAAAAAAATAAAGATAAATATGGTATTAAATAGGGGTGTTCATTCGGTTTTTCAGTTCTGTTTCGATGTTTTTTTTCGATTTTCGGTTAACCAAATTGGCTAAAACAAAAACCGAAACCGAACTGAATTGTTGTTCGGTTTTTTGGTTAAAAACCAAATTTTTTTCGGTTCGGTTTTTTGGTTTTCGGTTAAAAACCGAAATTTTTTTTTTGCATTTTTCTTCTAAAAATCGAATTATTTTGCTTTTAAAAAATATCAAACTTACATAATCAAAGATTGCATGTTTCACATTTGATTTTATAAGAAAATTATGTATGATTATTATTATTTTTCTATAATAAATATGTTTCTATTTATATTATAAACCAAATTAGTTGGGCTTCTCATTATTTTTTCAATCACGCTATAATTGGTTTTTTATTAATTTTTCATATTCTTTTTTTTAATCTATTTATTTTGTCCATATTTTATTGTTGAATATATAATATGAAAAATTCAATTTTTAATTTATGTTTGTGCCAATTTTAATACAAGGAGACAATTTGTTTTCATGAGGTTTTAGGATTCACCTATAAATTTGTGTTTTCATAAAGAATTTCTTTATCATAGTTTTTTTTTATTTTTTTGTGAGTCAATATAATATAATCAATTATTTTTTATTTCAATAAATAATTAATGAAAAATATTTCTATTTTAAGTAGAAAAAAAATCATTGAAGCTATTGTTCTTTTAGTTAAACCCATAGGTGCCTCTTTGATTTTTTTTTTTTTAAAAGAGTTTGAGTATGTGTTTAAAAAAAAAACTAATTCGGTTTTCGGTGGAAACCGAATTTGAAAAAAAAAAACCGAACCGAACCGAAATAATTTCGGTTTTTTTTATTTTTATTTTTTAAAAACCGAACCGAAATTGTTAATTCAGTTTGGTTCGGTTCGGTATTTCGGTTTTAACCGAATAGTAAATACCCCTAGTATTAAACAAAGAAAAAAATGAAAAAAATTTAATTTTACAAAATTTTTATAACCTTTCAATAGCATTCATAGCATCACATAGTTGAATGTATATGTCTGAAATATAAAATGCATTGAGTATATGTTTTAAGGGAAAAGAAAAAAAAAAAGATCATTATTCTCCGAGAAATTTTATAATACACAAGTCGTTGAGAAATTTTATAATGCACAAGTCCTTTAGAAATTTTATAATACTTAAGGGATAACTTACATTAGTTACTCAATAGAGAGGGATAGACATAAAAAGAGAGAGAAATAAGAAAAAAAGAAAAAGAAAAAAATTAAATCAACGAGAAAATCTTTTTATCATTTTTTATAAATCTAAATGTGATTATTTTTTTTTATGTATCTATCTCTCTTTAAAAATTAATTACTATATATGTATACTAGTTACTCCTTAAATATTATAAATTTTTTCCTTATTCTCTCTACTCAACAAATAAATAAACATTATTTTTTTCCCCATAAACCCAAGTTTTAACAGCATTTTGACGTGGACGGCCTAAAAATCCAATCCAAACGATCCAATGGACTCGAACTGCTGTTGAGATGGAAATGAATAGTCATTGATACCTATTTTTAGTGAAAAAGAGCATCATATGAATGCTTAACCTTGACAGAAAAAAAAAAAATCAAAGTTTTTAACTATAAAGTTTTTTAAAATATTAAATAAATAATTTTCTGTTTTGAAAATTTCAATTAAGGGTTGAGATGCTCTTTCCCATTGAAAATAGGTATCACATGACTATTAATTCCCACCTCAGCAAAAGTCAACCGGACAATTGAAAGTTTGTTTGCAATTGAAACAAATAATATTAAAAATTAGGGTTTTTCCAAAGTTTGTATGTAAATGAAATTGGAGAAATATGGTTTTGTTTGTGTGGAGCGTGGAAACTAAAGATGCGGTAATGAAATAAATAAATAAATGAATAATCCTAAAACCCTAGAGTATTATGAAATAATGAATATTTATATAAATATTCATATGCTTTTCATATCCTTATTACTCATAATTCTTAATGTGATTCAATTCATTATTCAATATGAGAAATTGTAAGGGTGTTGCAATTAATATATTTTTAATTGTTCATTGTCTATTTCAATTCTCTTCTAAACTTTCTTCTAAATTTTGAAACTTATAAATAGTTTTGATTGTTCGTTAGTTGAATTATTTGAAGTTATCGAAATCATTTTTCAATCTCTTTTCTCTCTAATTATATTGTTGTTACTATTTCTTTTATAATAGAAAGAAAATTTTCTCATTTTTATTGTTATATTTGGGTTATTATGTTTTAAGGTTTACAAATAACCTAGGAAAAAAAAAAGAATCGATCAAGAAATTTTCAGCTTAAAACACAATTTATATTTTTATTATTTATTTATTTTTGTTTTGTTTTAAATTTAAAATAAAATTAAATACATTTGGATTAAAAAAGAAGAAGAAGAAGAAGAAAGTAAAGACATTCAAATAGAAAATAGAAATATATATGGTACTGTTTTGCACAATAAACTTATAAATATTACTACTTTGCGCTTAAAAGCTCTAATCACTTAAGTAAATAATTTCGAATTCTAGTTTTTAAGCATACAAAAAACTTTTTAGTTAGTTGTTTTTATCTTGTGCGTTCAATAAAATAACGAGGGATTAGTACCCTAGAACATAAAAAATGAAAAAGAAAACAGAAAGGTAGATATACTAAAAATGGGTACAAGAACAAATACTGAATTTTTCATTACCTCCACTACACATGCATGTAATGGCTCAACCCAATTGCATTTCGTGGTTCTATGGACCAGAACGAACCCAAATGCTGTACAGTGATCGTTGTGCTGTATTGTAAATTAATAACAAAAATATATATTATGTTGTGAGTAAAATAACTTAAATGTTTGGTAATATATTTATGCATGGTTTGAAATAAAATTTTTATTAAAGAAAATTTAAATATTTTCACTAAAAAATTGAAATAAATTACTTAAAAATATTTTTATGGCTAAAATCAAAAGTCACTAATAATATAAGTAGTAGTATATATAAAAACAAGAATCAAAACATCAACTAATTTTTTTTATCTACTAGTATAAAAACTATATATTAAAATAAAACATGCAACAATCAAATTTTTGTGATTTAAATTTTTTTTATTGTTATTTTTATCTTATAAATAAAATAATCAGTTTTTGAGAAATTTTATAATACTAAAAAAGTAACTAGTGTGTATATATACGGTAGTTATTCCAAAAGCTCACTTTTGAGAAAAGTGATAAAAAAAATAGAAAAATCACATCCGAATGCACCAAAAGTGAGAATAATATCTCTACGTTAGCTCAATTTTTTTTTCCTTATTTCTCTCTCATATTTGTGTTTATCTACAAGTATAAAAACTATATATTAAAATAAAACATGCAACAATCAAATTTTTGTGATTTAAATTTTTTTTATTGTTATTTTTATCTTATAAATAAAATAGTCGAGTTTTAAGAAATTTTATAATACTAAAAAAGTAAGCTGGTGTATATATACGGTAGTTATTTCGGGAGTTCATTTTTGAGAAAAATGATAGAAAGATAAAAAAATTACATCCGAACACACCAAAAGCGATAGGAATATTTCTACGTTAGCTCAATTTTTTTCCTTATTTCTCTCTTATATTTGTATTTATCTCTCTTTATGGAGTAATTTATACTATTTATTCTTTAAGTATTATAACATTTTTCATCAGTTTTCCATACCAAAAACACAGACAACTAATACTCCATTAACAAGAATTTTGATTCCTCGTCAAAATCACATCAAGCTGACTTTCTTAAAATATTGCAGGCAAGCTGTGCAGATCCTTGAGTTAACACACACAAATTAGCCTTTCCATAATCTTGTAAAATCTCTACCTTCCACACTTTTTAACCATTTGGACGTGTGAATGCATTGCTTCTGCCTCATTTACATAGATCTTGTATTTTACTAGGTGTAAATGTCAATTGCAACGCAAGTTCTGCACAAATTTGAACCAGTGTAATTTTAGTCATGCAAGCAAATATACTTTGAGATGTACGAATCGTGGAAAGAAAAGAAAAGGCAAAATTCTCAACATAGATAAAATAATGTTAAAGGTGAGTTAGCCTTTAACATAGATTTAATCTTGATTCGATATATAATCCAAAAATATTTCATTATTTGTATATAAAAAAATAAAGTAAGAATTTGATTTTAATAACAAATTGTAGACATTGATCTAATGTCAATAGATGATTAAATTCAAAGTTTTTTCGACCAAAATAAAAAAATACAAGAAGTTACAGGACCATGTAACAATTAGTGTAGCCTCTTTTTTTTTCTTTAATCCTCACAATTAATTTACGTAACGCATATGTGTAATTTTATAAATACAGTCATTTTACATTGTTTCTTGTACTCATCTTCTTAGACAATATATATGAAGGGATGCAATGCTTCTATTTTGTTCAAATCGAAGAAGTGGGATAGTAATTTCACATATCAAAAGTTACGGCTACAGTAAAGTCTTTTTTTTTTTTTTTTTAATGGAAATTTTCATTCATAGAAAAAGAAAAAACAAGTAGGAGCTTGCCCTACTATAAGTATGAATCTACCACAAATGCTTGAAATAGATTAAGACAATATCCATTAAATAGAAATAGACTCAAATTTAGAATTAAGCATTGCTTTAGTTAGAAGTTTAGAATTATGTAACGAAGAATGAACAATCCGACAATCAATCTAGTTACATCATCCACGAAAAAAATATTATTATTATAGATTCTACAGGTTTTTAATTTCCACAAACCATAAATGGTTACATGCCAATATGATAATAATAGATTGGAAATTTTTCTTTTGCAAATGCTATACGGCCTATTGTAAATCTATACTTCAGCTATCAATTATTCTATTAAATCCACTTTTAAGAAGAATAACATTCCATATGGTTTTAGAATAAGAACATTCAAAAGATAAGTGATGTCGATCTTCGTTAGCATTTCCATACAACGAGCAACTCCCATTCGAATATACCTATCTTTAGTGGATAAATGATTAAAAATTACAAGTCAAAAGATAAATCTATGTCTTGAATGTTAAAAAATTCCCAAACAAGTTTATACTACACCACTTGAGTACCTCTCGTTTTTCACCGACTCCCAAATGCTTCTAATTGTGAATTCATCATTTGATATAGCTTTTCATACAACTTTTTTATAACATCGATCATAAGCATCACATAAAGCGATTGTACTTTTATCATAATTTTTTATTTAGCAATAAGCGAGAACCAATCTCGTCCTTCACAACAACCTCCTACGAAGCATCAATTGGAATATCGGATTCGTACATAAGTCTTATGCCAAAGACTTCGATGAAAATTTCATTTGGATACTAGAGTTCTACTCGCAACTTTATTGTTTTTCCATTACCAACAATATGATGAGTTTGTTCCCAAACTAAATCCACGAGCTTAAGGGGTTTCTTCCAATACCAATTGCACTTCGTCCAATCCAATTTATCACAAATATTACCTTTAGCAACGACTATTGATCTTTTGGTGAGTTTTCATATTTCACCATCAAAATAATTATAATATTTGACAATATTCAAAGCATGAGTAAAAATCGGATCCAAAACTAAATTGATATATGCAATACATCCTTCAAAGTTAGTGTATAACCTATACATGTCATTATACACACACCATCAACTCCTAAAATACTAGTATAACTATTATCGCCCATCTTTATAGTGCCAAAGTATCTTATTTTATACACGAGTAAATAATTCCTTCATGATATGCAACCATCGAGTCATCAACCAATTCAACACAAGAATCCGTAATATTACACATATCCTCTCTACATGAGAGCATCACCATATTCCAATTTGAAGTTAATACGGTAGTAATGTTCTCATTATCTTTAATCCGATTCTTCAAATCCTCTTGTTCTTTCTTTCATGTCTTGCAATTTCTCTTTATGTGACTTTTTTTCTTAGTGATAACATTTAAAGCCGCAACTAGATCGTGATCCGCCTCTAGAATTAATATGACTACTAAATTCTCTATTTATACTCCTCCATTGTAACTATATGACAAGAGCTTGTGTATATATCATCTCGTTACTACTTTGCTTTGTCTTATTTCTTCTTTAAACAAGTTCTCCTTAACCATGGATAGTGACAAAATATTATTCGAAGCAAAAGTACCAAGTGTAACAACCAAAGCCTTTTAACTATTTGGCAAAGTTTGTAATAGAAACAATACTTATAACTCATCATCTAACACTATTTGATGGTTATTAGTTGATTAATCAAATCTTAAAAGTCACTCAAGTGTTCAATAATAGACATTTCATCTTGATATTTCAAATTCACGAGCTTTTTAATTAAATAAGCTTTATTCCATGCAAGCTTTCTTTTATACATACTCTTTAATTTTTTTCATAGTTTTTTGACATCCGTCTCTTTAGATACGGGATGAAACATACTATCATCCACTCATTTTCTAATAACTCTAATAACTTTCTATGCTCCCTTTTCCAAGCATCATTAGTCTTGTTTTTTGATTTGACTTTATCTAATTCAATCAGATCAAACAAATCATGATAATAAAATAAATCTTCTATTTTTGGCTTCTAAATCAAATAATTTGAAGTCGTTAGTTAGATCATGGTTTTTGAATTATTTTTTTATTTAATTTATACAAATATTTCAACCAAAATCGATTCCATTGCTAAGGATTTAATCACACTCTATGTAAATTAGATTTTATGAGAAAATAATCAAGCCATACACATACAATAATTAAAGACATAAAATAAATTAATTGTAAGAGCACAATCACAAAAGCCTCAAATTTACGTAAAAAAACCCTCTTCGTAGTAGAGGAAAAAAAAACTATGGAATCAAATCCAAAATAATCCACTATGATAATAAAAAAAACAATAGTCACTCAAGTTTTTTCGTAACTTGAAAAGCAAAAATTTCATAGTAATACAAGTTAATTTTCTAGTTAAATCTATCTCATCAATAAAACTTAGAATCTATGAAATTTTTATATTTATACAAATCTCAATATCGTATGAGCTCACTACCTTAAATACTACACTTCTTTATGATCGTAGTACTAAAAAAATCAATAATAGAAAGAACCCTAGTTTTTTGTACACCAAAAGAACTACAAGAATGTTTTTGTCACCTATCAATTTTTATAAACTTCTTATTTTTATTTGAATTAATTAAAATATAATAATTCATAATAATAATATGAAAAATATTTTACACGATTTTTATTTAGTTTTTAATATTACTCATAAAATATTGTTAAAATAAGCTCTTCAAAATAGTGCCACAATACGGTTCAAGGTAAAAAAAAAAAAAAAAAAATTCCAACTAGAGCTCAAACATATCGTCTTTAAAATCATAGAATATCTAAACTATAATTAACTCATAATAATAACATAGTTCACGGATGAGTGCTTTCGATGTGATTTTTTAACTTTCGGAGTGACTTTATTTTTATTTTTTATTAATGGATTTATAAACAGAATCTAAACTGAGGGTGTAAATCCAAACACTTTATAAATTAGCTATTGAATAATAATAATAAAAAATCATTAAGGGACGACAATCAAAATGACCAATAATTGAGGGGTCTTTTTATGGATTAGCCATCTCTTTGTATTTTGCTGTTTCTCTCCATTGATGGATGATTGTCATGTAATACGAGTTCAAGATGATGGGTTATTCTAACAACATTGATTTGATTTCATGAAAGCTGAAGAAGGTCTGGTCTCTCTAAAGTTTTTAGCTACATAAAAAGCAATGTGGTACTGCAAAACACACCAATCTCATTTTACTATTAAAAGAAAGCATCACCTTTTACCTCTTTTGCCAACTTTCTTTGAGAAAACACAGTCTCTTGTTTAAGAGAATGGACGCAAAGAAAAGGTTAGTGATTCTTGTTTTCATAGGGTTCTTTCTGTTTCGTTATTTAGACTACAAAGTTTCTATCTTTTTGCCATTTTGAAAGACGGAGTTTCTATCTTTATATATAATGTATGGTAATTGTTGCTCATAATCTGCCGTGTATATGTGCTTGTTCTTCTTAGTTAGAAATTCTTGTTCCATATGAGTGAAAAACCTTTTAGTGGCTAGGAATTTCTTGGCTTTGAGGACAAGATTTCTTCATCTTTTAGTCTTCAGTTTGCTAAATACATAGATGCCACTAAGCAATCGAACAACCTTCAGTTTGTTTTAATTTCCTGGTTTAGTTTTTCCTCTTAGCCAACTTTCTTTGAAAAAACACAGTCTCTCTCTCTCTCTCTCGTTTGAGAAAATGGAATACGAAGAAGAACTTAGCAATTCTTCTTTTCAAATGGGCTATATCTCTTACACCATTTAGACTACAAAGTTCCCATCTTTTTGCTTTTTTGAAGAACAAAGTTTCTAGCTTTTAACATAATGTATGCCAATTGTTGCTTTTAGTCTGCCTTGTATATATGCTTGTTCTTTTCTGTTAGTTCTTGTGCCATGTCAGTGAAAGCCCTTTAATTTTTAGTGGCTAGGCATTTCTTGGCTTCGAGGAGAAGAATTCTTCATATTGTAGTCTTTAGTTTTCTATAATTCTATACATAAAACAGCATAGATGCCATTATGAAATCAAACAACCTTTAGTTTGTTTTAGTTTCCTTGTTTAGTTTTAAAATTGCCTAGGAAAGCTTTTCCATTTCAGCCAAGTGGTAGTGTAGATAAGCACTGGCTTTTCTTCTTCTTCTTTTACATTACTGAAGTTACTTGATTAGCAATCTGTTCCTCTTTCTTGGTATTTTGCTTTCTTTTTTTCCCCCTATGGCTTTTTGTTTATTTACTTTCAAATTTGTTAATTTCAGTGGCCAGGATTGGTTTTGATGCCTTAATACTCGTAATTTTTTAATATTCTGTCTTAGTTGGATTGAACAAGCGTAGCATTGCGAATAATTTATGTTGGAATTCGTGGAAAGTAGTCACTGAACTTGGGAACTAGAGATGAATCAAGCAAAGTTGCAGGCAATTAGGGAAAAAGAGCTGGCTGAGCAGATGATTTTTGGTAATGACTATGTCGGCACGAGGGAGCATTTACTTAAATCACATCAGCTTTTTCCTGCAATAAATAATGTGGATGCCATGTTAACTCTCTGTGAAATACTAAGTGCTGCTAGTATCGAGCTTCCAGGTTGTGGAATTGATTACTACTGGGTTCTTCAGGTTATGCCCTCAGCTTCTTCCTCTGAAATTAGCTGTCGATACCAGAGACTTGTAACACTGTTGCAATCTATTGAGAAGAAGTTCCCCTGCATTGAGTTGGCTCTGAAACTTTTAAAAGACGCATTGATCGTGCTTGGAGACCAAAAAAAGCGCTCTGAATTTGATTTGAAAAGGGGCATGAGCTGGGAGACGTATGCAACTTTTGATGTGCAAGCTTCATCTCGTCTCAGCATCTCAAATATGGAAATGATGGCTGTCTCTGGAAGTTCTTTGGTCCATAAGAATAACTCTTCGAGCTTAATTGAAGAAACGAGTCAATTTGCTGCTGGTCTGAAGTCAGGGCAAAGTACTCAGGCTGACAATGATATGTGTGTGAACAGCATGAATTTGTCAATGACGTTGCAGCCAATCAGCTTGGAAGGGAATTTATGTTCTACTTCTAAAGCGGTACTGCAGAAAAGACCTCTTCAAGCCTTTTACAACTTTGAGAATGATAGAAGACCTGAACGTTTTGAGGCAGGCCAAATCTGGGCTGTTAATTATAAAGTGAATTTGCAACATAATTATCGGTATGCTCGTATTGATTCAATGTCAAAAACAGCAACTTTTGTTACATGGTTACAACCAATTCCTGTCACTTCTAGTGAGAGAAGGTGGTGTGATGTAGGCTTGCCTATTGCCTGTGGGTCCTTTGATTTGAGCTTGGAGATGCAGATGATTATTGAGGTCAGATGGGCAACAATTTCCTCCTACAAATGCTCCTGGACTCGTGGTCTAACAGAGGGACAATTCGAAATTTACCCAAGAAAAGGTGAGATTTGGGCAGTTTATAAGGATTGGAATCTTGACGCTTGGTCTTTCAATCCGGATTCTGTGAAAGGATGCAAATTTGAGTTTGTAGAAATCATATCGGATTTTTCAAAATATTTAGGAGCGCATGGAACATGTTTGGTAAAGGTGAATGGTTTCACAAGCATCTTTGAGAGACAAAAAATTGGAGGAAATCCTGTGACTTTTCATATTCCACCAGCCTATCTGTACATGTTCTCTCATAATGTCCCAGCATTTATGTTCAAGGGTGGAGAGCTTGACAAGGTTGTTGACGGAATGTTTGAGCTCGATAGGCTGGCCTTGCCAGATTATATGAATCAAGATAACGACACCATAAAATCAGAGAATGAAGGCACTAACGTTTTCTCGAACTTGACGCTCACCAAGCAACTACCTTCTTTCAAGCCACCTTCAGAGAACAAAGTTTTGATGCCTAGGTGGACCTCAAATGATTTTGCCATAGGTCAGGTTTGGGCTGTGTACCAGGGAGAGGATTTTATGCCTCGGCAATATGTTCGAATTAATAATGTAATCTCGGCGAACCAAGTATTTGTCACATTCTTAGAACCTCTACCTGTTCTTGATCATGAGATTGAATGGATGCGAGAAGGTCTCCCTATTGCAAGTGGGATATATAAAATCAGTGAAAGGAGAGTCAACATTGAAATGTCACTGTTCTCCTGTCCAGTTAAGTGCCAAGATAGCGCAAGCAACTCGTGCTACAAAATCTACCTGCTTAAAGGTGAAATCTGGGCGATGTACAAGGACTGGAATGCCAAGTGGAAGATGACGGACTATGAAAGTTGCCAATGCTTAATTGTTCAGATTCTATCAGACTTCTCAGGAGATGGGATAAGAGTAGCTAGGCTAGGAGCAGTGAAGGGTTACCTGACTTTCTTTCATACACAGCAGCATAGTGGATTGATCTAACACATGAGGTTTCTAGAGCTGATGTGCTTAGTTTTTCCCATTGGATTCTGGCTTTTAAAGTTCATGGGATTTCCAATTATGGCATACCAGAAAACTCTTGGCATTTGGAACCCAATGCCTTGCCTTTGAAGCATGGAAACTGATTCAAGAATATCAACTATTGATCCTTCCAAAGATGCTCTGCTAACACAAGTGTCCATTAAGAAATTTGTATGGGGTCCCTCTAAGCAGATTTGAAGAACAAAAACTGAAGTGGTGACTAATTGTGCCTAAAGATGTGCAAGTCAATTTTGTTCCACTTAATCCTTATTTCATGGCCAGATATCTTTGAGGCTAAGGAATGGGAAACCTTTCCCCTATTCCATGAATTATTATACTAGCAACCTCTGGAAAGAAGCTCATGGCTGAATGCAATGAAATATAACTTTTATTTGAAAGGTAAAAGTCGGCATTAAGGAATCGGAAGTTGATGAAAATTGGTTGTATACTGTATTATGATATCCTTATATACTGTTTTCAAATATTTGGATCACCCTGCGTCCTGCATTGTTAATCTGAATTTGGGCTCTAAATGAGAACTGGAAGTCTCAGTGGTAGATGATCGTCCTGCTGTTGTCGTAACTCTCTGAAACTGAACTTTGTAGCTAAATTCATCCATGCCAAAAAAGTGCAACTTCAGAAAACATTGCAACATAAATCGGTCATTCTAGCAAGGTAGCAGGGGTAAGAAAAGTGATGATTATAGACACAAAAAGACAACTAAATGCTAAAACCTTATTTTCGGTTTGCCCTGAAACAGAAATGAAAGCGGAAATGGGTTCCTCAACCTAAATTGTTATAATGAACTCAAAAAACGAACAAAGAGGTATCACATGGAAATTGGAGAGAAAAAGGAATTACTACCATGAGAAAAGCCAAATTTAGGCCAAATAGGAAGGGAAAAAACCAAAGAGAGAGAGAGAGGCCAGAGTCATAGTACCAAATGCATTTAGCAAGCGCTCCAAACAGAGAAGGCACGGAATTTAAAACTGTCCAACGTAGGATTAGCAAAATGATATGATCACGTAAAATTTGGAATTTCATTTCAGAAAAAGCAAAACATAAACGGTACAACCACCCCGTTCAGCTATCCATCCCAAAATTCAAGAAGAATAATCAACAGGGCAATGAACAAAATACAATTAAAATTCATCAGCTCTGACTATGAAGTGAAACCATCCGGTGCCTCAAAAAGAAATTCTCTCTATCTCCCCCATTCTCTTCAGGTGGGGTGGGAGGAATCTAATCAATGCCTCATCTGCAGAACTCATCGCCAGAGCCTACTTATGAAGCCCTTCTTGTCCTTCTTCATCCGGTTTTCTAGAGAAGGGAAATCAATACAGTTATAGGCAAGGTCTAGAACAATAGGATTTCGAGAAATCGATTGGAAAGCTGGAGGGAAGACTTCAATGCAGGGAACACTCTTGACATTGGGTTCGCCAACTGCAGACTCGTAGACATCAAGTTTCTCAAGTAGGAATTTCTCCACCTGACAAATTCAAATCAGCAAGTCAACCAAGATCAGACATACACAAGCAGGAGCTGAAGCAACTCTCTTACATTATTCATAGGATGTAACAAACATCACATAATGACTGCATAAAAATAGAAGCACCAAAGGAAAAGAAATTTTTTAAGGTTAATAAGGTGGAAACCAATTTGCAACGCACAAACTAATCACAATTACCATTTATTCATGACATAATATATCTCCCGAAAACTTGCAACATTATAATTGGTCAGTATAGCTTACAAGTATTTGCAGAATATTAACACAAAGCTTACATCAGAGACTCTTTCTATTGAAACCAAAAGGAAACTCATAGCATCCTTGTACGACACTTGGCTTGGCTAATAATGCATGGTAAATCAACATAAGATGGAAGAAATGATAAATAGAAATACAATTATATTAGCCATCCTTTATGCCAGTTTACTCACGATTAAGAATAATGATCCTTGCCTATTCTGGGAGACACAGATGGGAAACACAATCCAGATGGTTACCTTCTTGTCCACTCCACTGAGTGATATCGTTGAAATTTTCTTCGAGAGATTCTCTGGAGCCTTCTCATCCTCCATGATCCCAGTTGCATGCTCTATGCAACTGTTCGCTCTGCACTCGTTGTATAATGTTTTCAACTCTTTGGTCATTACCTGTTATAGAAAATCATTAACCATCCAAGTCAAATATTTGGCATGTCATACAACTTGCAAGTCATGAATCAAAATCACACCAAGAATGCATCAACAAGAAAATTTTCCATAGAACACTACAAATGGGCAAGTGACTTCAACTAATGTAATGTAAAGGATTGCCAAAGTTTTAGTATCCTTTCTCTAGGCTACATCACCTCATCAGTGTCCACTGCGGTTTGGAATTTCTTTAGGGCATCCTCAGCAAGGGATCGAGCATGGCAGTATAATGCATATGCTTCTGTTCGTTTTCCAGCTGCACTGTATGATTTTGCCAAGTAGAAGCACCTGCAAATATTTTCAGGAGATAAGATTAAAAATCCTAAACCCGGTAAGGAAGTTGGTTGGCTTTTAGAGAACCAGCTTCAATTGCTTAATTCCCATAAGCATGAATGTAATGTTGATGTGCATTGCGAAGGGTATAGCCAAAGAACAGAAGAAAAGATCATTGGGAAGGCAAAGGATGATAAAAGTTAATGAATATGACAGGATATGATATCTCTAATCATCGAGTGATTCCTTGAACAGTGCTTATAAAAAACCCAAATGTAAAAGGGATTATCAAAAGATTCAACCAATCACGAATTATAAATTGGAAAAACTGCAAGTGAAGGAAAAAAAATCAATCCGATGAATTGGTAAAAATTTCAGATTGCAACCTTTGCGCTCGGAAAGCCATACTTCGAAGAATACAGTCTTCAGCGAATGCTACTTCTTCAGGTTTTCGGTCTCTTCCAGAACTAACTAAATCAGAAAGATCAGCTGTATTCTGTCAAACATAGCATTAATAGAAACATAAAAGGTTAGTTATTTAACTGAGGTAGTGCATAATGTATTCAGCAGTGGTTCAAATCAAACCTTTAAAAAGAAATACATGTTGGAAACACATGCACAAGGAAAGATTGCTAACCTGTAATAAAAGATCATACAAGCGAACAAGCTCTTCTGGCTTGGTAAGTTTCTCATTTTTGTCATCTCGGCGCCTACTAAGTTTACTCTTGGCAATGCTAACCAACAACTGGTTACGCTCAATGGTCCGCTGTCCTAGTACAGCACTGACAGCTTTATCAAGCCCATTTAAGTCATCTTTGACACTGTCGGCATTACCAGCACTGACCTAAAAAAAAAGTATTGTGTAAAAAATAAAAGAGGCTACAAAAATATTTAAAAAACAAACCAAAGTTAAGATAGTATAAGCAGGAAAAAAGAAGGGAAATAGTTACCAAGTCACTGCGAATGGAGCTCCTAGCATCGTGATATGCGGTAAAAAGTTTGTCAAAGACTGCTAATTTTTTCTCTGCTGGGAGTGAATCTGCTGCAGAACCATGCAAATCCTTCTCCAATTCTTGTGCTGAAAAGATAACCATACATGAAACGTAGTTTCAGGCTCTGTTAGAAGGATAAAAATAAATTGAGAGGGAATATCACCAGCAAATTATGAACATTCAATCAAATTCCTGATAAATATCAGTGCAACTTCAACATGAAGAACAAAGCTAATCATGCTTGCTAATGATATTCATGGAATCTAAGTATTGCAACATAGAGACCAATCTCTCAATAAACTTTAGAAAACTCTATCTTCAGAACTGCTAGCAAGTTAGTATATTGATGCATTTGGCATATATTGTCATCACCCATATTGAATCATACATTTCCATTCAAAGATCCACATGAACAGAATTTATCAAGAATCAGTTTATAAAATTTAGTGAGAATCAGTTCATAAAATCTGGAGAGATTCATAAAAAAATCTGGAGAAATAACATAATGAACATCCATGTAATTGTTGAAGAGCTGCTAAAAGAGAAGATTTCATGTGGGCATGGATTTTTGCTAAAAAGAAAATACAGGAGGTGATTACCCGCCTATGTCAAATATAGCACTCAATGATAATGTTCCCACCAATATATTTACTCATAGAAAGCAAATGCCAACCTTTTAAAATGGCAACCCGAGTTTTTGCATTCGAAATTGGAAATCTGTGACCAAGCCAATGAAACTCTGTCAGAGATGCAGCCTGTTGAGATCTTGCTTCAGCCATAGCAGCCTACAAAACAAGGCAGAGGATTCTTAAATACAAGAATAAAAATGACAAAATAAATATCCATAATATATCCCTTAAATCCAACTACAGAATAGACAAAATATAAGTTTAGAAATTCAATAGCCATCGACTAACATAAAGTTCTTGACAGAATTCAATGCAGTCAGAATCACTCATATGTATAATAAAGGCTAGAGTGAAATTGGTCTAAAATAAACGTTCTGCTTACACTGCTTCAAGTGCACATAAAATCATTTTCATATTCAGATAGAGATCTTGATCAACCATGACACATTGCTATTGCTGCAATGCATTAACTTTTCAAAAGAGAAGGAAGGCAACATGATAAAACCAAGCAATTACTGAAGACACTAAAAGTAGGAGAACAAAACATTTGACACAAAAAGAAACAGTAGGTCATGCACAAACTCTGACAAAAGATCAACTCTCACCTCCAATTTTGCTTTGAAAAGGTCTAGGGCAGGACCTTCCATCTCACCAATTTGTAAGAGTTCAGAAGTTTTCAGATTTGACTCGCCAATTTTGTGTCGGCAGTATCTAATACTCGGTTCCAGCTCCTCAACGCGCTCACGGCACAAAACTTGATTCTCTAAGTCTCCATATTTCCCAAGTTCCTCATAAACAGCTCTATGCAAAACATTAAACTAGTCAAACCCAATATTCAATATACAAGCTGAATACTTATTTGTCAAGTACTGAATAAATCTTTTTATACTTGGAATTATTCGATGAGAGGACTTTGGTCTGAGAAACTCCCTCCATCTCAACATGTTGGCCTTCTTTGAAAGTCAGTTTTTTAAGCGAATATTAATTATTGCATCCACAATTACAAATTTAATACTGATATTTCAAATATTAACCTTCTGTTGCTTTTACTTTTAATATCACAAAAGCATGATGGACAATTTATCAAACTGACATTAACTTAATGTTTTACTCTTTGAAGTGGATAGTCACTATGAGATAGATGAAAACAGACAGGACAGATATGGCAGAATGGAGAGGGTGAAATTCTCTGGTTATTGAACTCAAGTGCATGGAATTGTGTCTTTAGAGCATAGCCACGATACACAAAACCACAAACCCTTCAATTAGCAGCTTAAGAAGTACCTGGGAAGGCCAATGGCCTTTTTTCCCAGAAAAATTTATTGACAAGGAGAAACACTATTCTAATGTGAAAGCAGCAGCAGCAGCAATTATTAAATATGATAGAGACAAGAATAACCTGGCACTTATAAAATTCTTCAATGCGGTGTCCCAATTCCGATCTTGTTCAAACAACAAAAGCCCATTCATATATGATGCATAGGCCTACAAATAGGACAACAAAGCATTGCTAATTGAGAATGAAAGAGTCATCTCAACATGAACCAAACTATAGGAATGCTCCTCAGCAGGCAGTACATATTAAATAGTTATTAGCAAAACACAGAATCCAAAACAACTTGGTGCTGTTAAGTGACAAAAAAATGACCAAAATGTCTAACAGTAAAATATGATAGATGACAGAACATACACATAGACTCCAATCCTGTATGTGATTACATGCATACTTTTGTGTCCTCAAAACTCTAAACAAGATATGCTTGAGACAAAACTGGAGAGTAACTTCTGTGGTCTCTAATACCAATGCACGAGGTCAAACTATGCAAACAGGCAACGAAGACTAGCAACGAGAACTGCCTTATCTTCATATCCCATTCCCAGAAAAACCCAATCCTACAAAGTTGCTGATGAATGCAGGACTGGTGGATCGAATTCGTATAGCATTAAACTCAACATGGATCCATTCATGAACAATGCAATAAAACAGTATAATGATTCTGTAGCAATCTAATACAAGCTCTCGTTAAATCTTATCTCGTGAATGCAAGACGGAAATGTTAATAGATGTTCCACTTTTAGCTTCAAAAGCTGAAAAATTGTCCTTGTTTACAAGAAAAGAAATGAATTCCAAAAGAATAAAGAATAAAAAGCAAGGAAAATTTGCTTCAACCATGACCTCAGGTCACATCACCACCACTAAAAACAAACTTGACAAGAAGTTCATCTGATTCAAGGTGAAAGTATTATCCACAAAAACTCTTGCTGATGCAATCATTACACAAGTAGGCACAATTTGCACTAACTTTTATTTGAATAATTATTAGGAGATATCAAAGCAATATGTTGAGACAACTAAAAACATAGACGCACCTCCGCTTCTAAAGATGTTCTGGAATCTCCCTTGGCAGCACATAATCGTGAAAATAGATCAGCCCATTTTACTGCCTTCCTCAGTCTCCCAATCAAATAAATACGTTGCTTAGCATTTGGACCATCTAGAAGCTGTCGTTTCTCCATGGCATGGCTCCATGCTCTCTCTGCTGTATAAAGAACCAGATGCAGATACCTATTCTTCTTCAAACAAAATAAATTATAATCTTGTCTGACTATGAAACATAAATATCATTTTTCAAGCTTTCATAGGTATAATGTCTGTTAATCCACAAACAAACTGGGATCCTCAAGATGGTCGCTTACATATCAGTAAAGCAAAGACATAGCAGACCAATTCTTGCAATGAAATTAGACTGAAAGATGTACCATACAACAAGAGGTGTTATTTGTTTAAAAAATTCCAGTTCTTCTAAAGCAAATGACCAAACCCATTCCTCCTCTTGTGTTTCTTAATGATATATAGCTATAAGAACAAAAGTGCATGTTTTACTTTAATTTAAAAAAAAAACGAAAAACAAAATGGGATTAAAAACAATGCTGATTGGTATAATCACTGCACATATATGTCTACAAACATAATGAGTGTAATCGAGAAACATGTAACGGAATGAAAAAATAATTCAAATTATCCAAGTGCCCTAAACGAAAGCTATAATAAACAAGGCATACCTCACTTCAGCAACAGTGGATTCATTGATAGCTCTTCGTGTATATTTACCGCGACCATGAGTAAACTTTAACGATTTATATAACCTCCTTAACCGTGCAGTGCAATACCTCCTATTCTTCCAATACAATTCAACTAATTACACAATCAAATCAAGATTCCTTAACAAACAACCAACAAAATCCAAAAGCTAAATTCACATACCGATATCGGGCATAATCCCCGTGCCTCAATCCATGCTGCATTTGCGCAGATTTCAGCAATTGCAACACTAATAACCAAAATACCTTAATTAGCAAATAATAAATTAATATTTTCGCTCAACTGAAGTTTAATTCAGTTAATTTTTTTGTTTAATTAAAATGAAAAATGAGATTGCAAATTCATTTGATTTAATAAAAAGGAAAGAAATACAGAGGAGATTTAAGAAAAAATAATAACCGTTGATTGAGTATCGCGGATTGATCTGATCAGAATTGTTGGATTTTGGACCGTCGATTTCCATTGCGATCGCTTCATTCTCTTTACCCATGATTTCTTAAAACAAACAAAAAGTGAATCACAATAATCGAGAAAATAGAAAAAAAATCATAATGGGATCCGGAAATTGGCGATAGAATTTAAATAAAAGAAGGCGTTGTGGTAGGGGAATTGAAGAGATGTTACCTGGTGGTCGTCGCGCCGCCTGCTTATTGGCGGTGGTGGATAAAATGGTTTCAGGTTGATTTCTAAAGAGCACTGTTTTTAGAGTTTGTCTGGTGTGAGTGGGGGGTTTTTGGGTTTTATATTGTTTAGCGAGGTGGAACAGAACGGTCCGAATCTCTGTACGGATCGGATCGGGTCTTTTTTTTTTTTTTTTTGATAAAGTGCTTTTTGGGATGCTATAGTTTTTGAAATGTCGTACGTGGTATGTTTTGTTTTAATTTTTTCAATATCATTTGTTACGATTTAAGGAGTGGGTCATGACTGTCGCGAGGACTAAAGGTGCTTAACTCGGAACCTAATAAATTGGAAATATTATCGCTATTAGCCACATTCGAAATGCAATGAATATAAGCTAACAAGACACTTATGATCTTATTGTAACGTATGTAAGAATATTTACGTGGTAAAATTTTTTAATGACGTTCAAGTCTTATTTCCTACTTCAACTTCGCTATAAATTTTACGCGTCTATTTATCATGATATTTTATTTTAATTTATTTCATTTTATATGTTTGCTAAATTTATAATCATGTCAATATGCGATGGATAATTTAAAGTAATTATACTTCTACTATGATATTATTATTCTATTATTACTAATTCGATTACATATCTTAACTATTTACATACATGATCGATTCTATGTCAACTACTGCGTGTAATGGGTCTACTCGGAAGCCAAACCCTCATCCAAGCTACATACGTCCGATGCCTTCCTCGGTAGTCAATTTCGCGAAGAAGTGAGCCGTACTATCTTATTTATCTACACCATAAGAAACCGTATGAGCTACGACCCGGTAAGTTAACATATGCAAGTAGTGTACGTACATATGTATGTATGCATAAAACACCGATATGCATAATGAATCCTTTTTCCTTATGTCATAAAACATTTCATAAACGATCGAAAATCTTTTTTCGTCTTTGGACATATCCCATTTAAGTACTTTAGGGTTTCCATCACATATGTCCGGCGAACCGGACTCATCCACGGACGCGCCCTACCAAGCCTCTAAAAGTGCACGTCCGCACTTGCTCGACCACGAACCATTACCATCACCGTATGAAAAACCCATGAAGTCCTTTCCTCAAAACTTCAAAGTCATAGAAATCTTTTCCTTTAAAATCATTCCGATTGCTATCGGATAACCATGACATAAAATATATTTTTATGACTTAAAACATTATTCATGAGCTAAGCATGCGTATGTAATTTGCAATGAACCAGTAAGTCGTATGAATTCATGAATGCTTACTTAGAATGGTTATGTAACCAAGTCATAAGAATCGATATAAAATTGAGCGAGTATAATAGCATAGATAACATCAATCCAATATAAACCAACACGACCATCATTGACACATCAATCATCATAACCCAATTCTCATCATCAATCACATTCAAGTATAACCATTATTCATAACCTAATGCATTCATGTAGCATTTGAAAGAACATAACCATAACATAAAGGAAGATTAACATTTTTGTTTCATTTCTTTATTCATTAAACTTACCTTTCACTTTACTTTCCTAAATTCTTTTCCTTAGTTCTTAATTATCTTTTCATATTTGGTCTTTACCAAATTAAGTTTCATTTCATGTTCCAACCTAACTAGGTATTATTTCATTGATTTAGGAGGTTCAATTTTGGTTTGGGCCTTAATGGGCATAAGGCTCAATTTTTTCTATCCCTATTTTTCTTTAAATTTTTATGAGTCCTTTTCATTCTAAACCATCTTTTTACTATGTTTTGAGTCTGAATCATCAAATTTAAAGTTTAAAAATTGGTTTAAACCTAATTCTCCAAAATTCTCATTTAGGCTTACACTTAACCTCTTTAGAATCCTAACATTTTCTCCTCATTTTGTCCCACCATTTTAACACTAAGTAGCCTAGATATGTAAAAAATACAAGAATTAATTTAAATAAAATTTGGGACCAAAAATCTTGTCCAAACCCGTATTGGGCCTTAATGGGCCGAAATTGGGCTCAAGCACATAAAACCCATTTTCTTCAATTTTTACTAAATTTTTCATTTCTACTCATCTAAAAATGCTTATTCAAGTGTGAATGAACCATCAAATCAGAATCAAATTGCTTTGAGCTCAACCCCTAATTTGCTTAATTTAGGCCAAATATAATTTCTAACAATTAGTGGATTTTTCTTCAATTAAAGTGTAATTTTTTTTTTATTTCTAAAAATTAATTAATGCTCAAATAAGTCAGAATCAAGTGCTAAAACATAAATTAAATGAAAGAATTAAAAACCCCAAAATCTGGTTCATCAACCCTAACCCTAATTTTTCTTAATTGAGCAACTAAACATGAAATTAACTTCAAATTAAGTATGCTTGTGGTGTAGGTGAGGTTAACTTACTTGTTTGAGCTCCAATTAGACTCTAAAAAGGTAGATTGGTGAAGGATTTCTCTTCCTCCTCTTTTTCTCTAAATTTTTGAATTTGGTCTTTGACTTTTTCCCTTGAGATTTTCGACTTCCCACTTAAAATTAAAGCTTCTTCCACTGATTAGAGGTGGATATAATTTCTTAAAAAAATTTTGGGTGATTTTTAAGTGAAAAATTTTGTAAGAGTTTCCTTTGTGTTTTTCAATTTTTCCTCTCCTTTTTATTTTTTCAGTACCCCTATTTATATGAAATTTTGTGAAATCGTTGAGCTCATCTCCGGCCTTAATGTGGGAAAATCTCGACCACTTAATTCAATTTTCAATCATTCATTTGCATTTATCCTAATTTTTAGCCATTTATTCACCTTTTTATTTAACCCTTCTTTCTATAATAAATTCAAAAATTCATTAAGGGAGTTTGATTTAAATTTTCATAATTTTTGGCCCTAATTTGAGCCTTCAATTTATTTATTTAGTGTGAAAATTACACTTTTTCCTATAAAAAATATTCCCTATACTTACTAAAATTAATTTAAATTTTCTAGGCACTCTCACACATCCTATATGATTATTCTATGCTCTTAAAAATAATTTCTCATACTCTTAAGGTGCCTAATTAAAGTCTTTACATCTAAAACTACTATTCCTACATTTAGAAAATTCAATGAAATATTCACCATATGTAGAAAAATTCATAAAATCATATAAAATAATCTAACACCCTTCTAAAAATTATTCTAAATTTTTTTTTCATACACGAACAACATGCTTTAATTAATTTTCTCATGCAATAACTACTATTCATGTATCGAAAAATCACTAAAATATTCTTTAAGCATGAAAAACTATTTTGACCCTTCTAAATATTCTTTTAAGTTTCTAATAATTATTTCTCATTATCAAAAATATTTATTTATTTATTTTCACACAATTCTAATATTAAACTTTTATTACATTTCTATTTTAGCGGCTACCGGGCATTACATCCTTCCCTCCTTACAAAAATTTCGTCCTCGAGATTTTTGTTAGAATAATTCGAGTGTATCGCGCCCATATCTTTGCTTTTTATTCCCATGTTGCCTCTTCCACTTCATGATTCCTCCATAATACTTTAACCGAGAGGAATCTCTTTATTTCGTAATTTTTTAACCTCTCGTTCCAGGACTTGCACTCGGTCCTTCTTCATAATTAAGATCGACTCGGATGTCGGGGAGTTCACTACTCAATATGTGATTGGGGTCGTCTATGTATTTTCGAAGCATAGATACATGAAATACGTTGTGGATTGATGAGAGCGAAGGTGGTAATGTTAACCTATAGGCTCGATCACTAATTCTTTCTAGTATTTCATAGGGTCCTATATAACGTGGACTCAATTTTCTTTTTTCCGAATCTCATTACGCCTTTCATAGGGGCTACCTAAAAAATACTTTATCACCTACCCGGAACTCCAACTCTTTTCTCCTCGTATCGGCATTACTTTTCTATCGACTTTGCTGCTGTTTTCATTCTTGCTCCGATTTGTTGAACAACACTTGTTGTTCTGTCGGATCAACTACGGTCCTAACAACTTTCGTTCACCTACGTCATCCCAATGTATTGGCGATCGAGCTTTCTCCTATATAAAGCTTCATAGGGTGCCATCCCAATGCTCGATTGGTAGCTATTATTATAAGCGAACTCAACCGAGTGATAGATATTTTTCCCAACTTGCCGACCGATCCAACACACAAGCCCTCAACATGTCTTCTAGTATCTAGTTCACCCGTTTCGTCCGTCTATCTATTTGCGAATGAAAAGCTATGTTGAACTTTGGTTGTGTTCCCATCATTTCGTGAAGGCTTCTCCGGAATCGTGATGTGAATCGAGGGTCTTTGTCCGATACGATTGAGATAGAAATTCCATGTAGTCGGATAATTTCTTTTAAATACAATTCTGCGTACTGCTTGCATGGAATAAGTCATCTTAATGGCCAAGAAATGAGCTGACTTGGCCAATCGATCTACGATTACTTATATACCATTCGCTCTTCATTCGATCTCGATAGACCCGATATGAAGTCCATCAATATATACTCCCACTTCCATTCTAGGATATCTAAAGGTCTAGATAATCCCGATGGCCTTTGGTGTTCAACTTTGATTTATTGACATTAAAACATCTTGCCACATAGTCGGCGACATCTCGTTTCATCCCTTTCCACCAATAAGTCTTTTTGAGATTCGGATACATCTTCATACCTCCGGGATGTATGGTATACGGTGTAGTATGGGATTCTTTTAAAATTTCATCATGTAGCTCCTTTTCATTAGGAATGCATAACCTATTCTAATAGTGCCAAATATCTTCATTATCCGGGGTAAAATCTATCGTTTTTCCTTCGTTACCTTATGT